CTCCCCTTGCTTACGGAGGTCGCGAAAACGCTGCGGGGGGGCATTTCGGGCTCCAAAATGGCCGCCGGACGCGAAAACATCGCTGGAGGGGTAAGTTTGGACGCTTATTGGAACGCATTAAACTAAGTTTAATGCGTTCCAATAGGCTTTCCTTACCCGCACAGCGATGTTTTCGTATAGCGAAGGTTAATCCGGAACGGATTAACCTCGCTATACGGGGCACCACTGTATTTGTACAGCATATGATCTCAAGAATGGAAAAATCTGTTTCCAGTGACATTGCCATCTTCCCACTTCGTTTCCACATTTTGCAGTATGCACATTCAGTATATTTATATGGAAAGCCAGATAGAGCTCTCCTTATAAAAATCCAATACAGAGCCTAATATTGCATGTCTCTGGGTGTAGACAGACAGACATATGTATAACTGATTTTCAATCGTCTAATTCATTGGATTTTAATTCTTTTTGTCTCCTAAAATGTTTGTGAGCCAAACATTTTAGGGAAAATATAAATGAATGAATGAATGAATTCAGCATTGTGCCTGGATGATCAGATGACAGCTTAAACAGAGGTTCATTTATGCAATTGTGTCCAGATGTTTTGAGGACACATGCCTTCAGTTATACCACCACCACCACCACCACCACCACCATCATCATCATCATCATCATCATCATCATCATCATCATCATCATCATCATCATCATGTTGTTGTTGTTGTTGTTGCTGCTGTTGCTGTTGTTATTGTGGCTATCTTTGAAGAGCTTCAGAAACTGTAGTTTGGTCTACAAAAATATGCTGGTGGGCATTTACTTATAGGATTTCTGCAATACGTATCTGTACTGGTTACCAATTTGTTTCACACCAAAATTTGAATTGTTGGTAATGAACATTGAAGCCTTAAATATTTTAGATCCAGAATACCTAAAGGACAGACTCCATCCTTGTCTGTCCCACCAAACAGCTGTTGGAGAAGCCCTATGTTTAGCTACAGCGAAAACATAGTTGCATACACCTGGGAGGCGGGAAAGTTTTAAGGGTCAGATCATACTTCCGCACTATTAAAGAGCAGGCTGGGTAGGTGGGGCTCGTCAGCCATGGAAGGCAGCCCATCTAGGAGAAGAAAACTCCGAGTTCAAACCTCCACTGCCTTGTGGCTATATCCACTCATGGAAAAGGCTTCAGGAGTTAACCTAGTGGCAAAATCTGGAGCCAGAGTCCAGAAGGCAGTTCGTGTCGTTCTGCCAACTCCTGCAACATTGCTGCAACCAGTTGTATTGGCTCTTGCCTTTCCATTGGACCATTTCAGCAACGTGGAGAGGGGGGATCTGCTGCTTGGGTAACAGCCTATCCTCCATATTACTTTACCCAGGCTTCATGCTCTGGAGAGGACATTCCTCGATTCAGAGCATGTTACCATAGTCTCTCGAGACTGAAGGATGTCTATGCAGCAGTTGATGAGAGACAAAAAAAAGAGCAGTTGCAGTTGCCATACCAGAACTCAAAAATTATTTCTTCCTACAAGATGTCATTGTCTTTGCCCATGTTTCATCTCTATACAGCAGTGGTTCCCAGCCATGGATCTCCAGATGATCTTGGACTACAACTCTCAGAAATCCTGGCCAGCACAGCCAGTGGTGAAAGATCCTGACAGTTTTAATCCAAGAGCATTTGGGGACACAACATTGGGAACCCCTGCATAAGGCAAAGACCATGCTCCTCTTTGGGGGGGGGCAAGTGCTTCTTGTTCTATTAATATTAACAGAACATTTTCTATTAATGTTAGCTAATCTTATTTTATTGTACTTTGTCATTTTATTGTGTTTTACTACTAACTGCTGTTAGCCACTGTCCATGTGTATAAACTCTAGAAGGGTAGATATAAATGTTTGTGTATATATAAACAAACAATTTGCAACCATGGCAGAGTCATTCGCTGACCCATTTTTGCCCTTGAAATTCTAACAAGACAGAATCTTCCTGGCTCAATCTGCATCTTACAAATATAACAGAATGCCAACTTGCAAGGGCAAAATGTCATTACAGTGTCTGACTCATATGAAAGTCTTTAATGCCATCCTTACCTTCATAATCTTCCTCTTCCTTATTCGTTTTGCAACCCTAGTCTTTCATGATTCAGGAAAACATCTATTCAGTACGGTGTGTTTGTTTGCCTTCTGACAGATAATCGTATTTTTGGCCCTGCCAAAATCCTGTGATCCTGTATACTAAAACCAAAGACTTAGCACAGGGAAGATGGAAAGTAAGACTTTCTTCATTTTTCTGGCATTCATCTTGTAGGTGAATCATCTCATCAGCTGTTAGATGCCAGAGTAAAGCTGATTTCCCAGATGCAGTGTAACGCACCGAGTGCATATAATAACAGACTGGATGAAAGCATGCTTTGTGCAGGAAATCTTCAGAGAACAAGAGCTGATACTTGTCAGGTCTGTTGCTTTTTCGGTATTTGAACACTAATTTCTCTTTTAACAAAATGTAAATAGGCTATGCAGAGTAATGTCTGGCAGGGTACTACATATGTATCTGCTTCTTGTATCAGATACATTACAACAACTTCCTTCCTTTCAACATGATTTAAGAGGCATGTCCTTCAAACTCACAGCAACTCTTCTGGTGACAGGCAATCTGGTGGGGGTGGTACTTAGAAGATGAACTGGTATAGGCCATGAAAATATGGCAGATTTATCATTGTTCTCTCGATATGGTACATTAATACATTTCATATTTCTGTTTTTTTAACACCACCCTATTTAATGTTCCATATCGGGTATGTATTTTCTTTTTTGCAGTATGCTGACAAATCTGCAGTATTGAATAGATTATTTATTTATTTATTTATTTGACTCCTGCCCTTATATATAAAGGCGGCACAAAGCGGTTTATGAGCAAAATCAAACAATCTAATAACCCCACAATATATGAAATGTCAAGGAAAGCAAACACGTCCCAGGGTGAAAGAGATGGTAGAAGAAAGAAAATGATAAGATTCAACTATACAGTGCTGCCTCGCAAGTCAAATGTCTAGCAGGAAGGGAAAAAAAATCGCAAGACAAATGGTTTTGGCAATGGGGGTTGATGACTCGCAAGACAATTGTTCCTATGGCCGTGTTTTCTGTTTTTTTGTTCCTGCCCCATGTTTGCTGATTTTTAAATGTTTTTCTATGATGTTAAAAAAGTTTTTTTGATTGAAATTTTTGAAATCACCTGCACAATATGTATGTCTTTAAAGAGCACTTAATGAACCCTTTGTAAACCAAATTTGACTTTGTTCTGACTTTTTTTTGCCCATAGGAACGGAGTAATTAGATTTCAATGCATTCCTATGGGAAAATGCCTTTCGCAAGACAAATTTTTCGCAAGACAACATTAACTGCGGAATGAATTAAATTCGTCTTGCGAGGCACCACTGTATTATGATGGACTAGTAGCTGCTGTAGGTGATTCTCAAATAACCTAACAACTTCTTACTCTCTCTTACCCTGCTTACTGTGTGCGTGGAAACTCTCTGCCATATGTAAGGCCTTCCACAACACATATATTTACTCAGATCATTATCACAGGCATTCTATTAATAAAACAACATCAACAGCAAAATCCTACAATTTGCTTTTCAATTCTTTGCTTAATTTTGCTTTGGTTTGTTTTTTAATTACCTTGGGGGTCTTGGGAAGCTAGATACATAGGCCAATAATCAGTTCTGTAGCTCCACTAGCGTAGAAGGAATGACGTCACCAGCAGCAGGAGACTGCCACTAATTAAAGAGTTCCTGCTTCCATTTTAGGTTGCACACAAGTTCTGCACAATGAGACAAAGCCACATACAGCCCAAAATGGAAGCAGGAACTCTTTAATTAATGGCAGTCTCCTGCTGCCAGTGATGTCAATGCTGCTGTGCTGCTGGAGATACAGAACAGGCTACTGGCTACTTGTAATAACCATGTGCTCCAACTGATTTCCTCAAAAAAAACACCTCTCAATTCTATTGTTAAAATGATAAAGGGACTGTATTAGAAAATGTATGCATGGATTCAAATCAGAATGCAGAACTACTGCTTTATCAGTTGTAATATGATTATTATGATTGCATATATGATCAACAACTGGCCTTTAGAGTTTGGAGCTTCCCTTGTAAAGATGCAGTTACATATTATTTCTTTTCCTTTTCTATGTTTACACTGTTCATAGATTTAGTAAATCTATCACTTTTGTGTCCAATCCCTGAAATAAATATACTGATAAATCCTACATTATCTAGTTCAGTCATCAAATTCCATTGCTGTCAATACATTTTGTTATTCAAATTAAACACTTTATTTTATTTTTTTACTAGGGAGATTCAGGAGGGCCTTTAACTTGCATTAAAAATGGTTCTTATTATCTCTATGGAATTGTGAGCTGGGGAGACCAGTGTGGATTAAAAAATAAACCAGGAGTTTATACTCGAGTCACAAGATTTCTCAACTGGATCCGTACAAAAATTCAACATGAGTCCAATTCCCACAACTAAGAAAGACCTTTCAGAAATGAAGAGGAAGGTAAGCCTCAGACACTTTTGTCCTACTTTTCCAACTATTTCTGAAAAAGACCTTTACATTTCTTTTGAACCTCAAGCTGCAGTCTTGGAGTAAGTGCTGCTGAATTCCATAAATTTTATATTTGAATATATATTGATAAGATTGCATTATAAGGCTGAAGTCCTTTACCAGGAATAAGCCTACTGAACTCACTTTGACTAAATATGATTGCATTGTGCTGTATAGCTTTGATGCCTCTTATTTTATATTTTATTATTATTGCACAGTATACGTCATGTTGTAGCACAGACAGACTTCCCTAAAGTTCCTTGCTGATGAAGAACTGTTTATACATTTTTAAAATAAACAATGGGAATAAATAATGTAAATAAACAATTTCTCCCATTCCCCTGAATAATTCAAATGTAAATACACTGTATTGGGATGTACAGACTTGGCTTAGTTATCACTAGCTTATACAATAGCGTGTGTAAGCACTAAACCTGCACTATATGTAATGTGGCAGGGTTTTATTTATTATATTTGTGTTCTCTGAGATATTCAGAGTAGCCGACATAGTGACCTCATTTTATCTTCCCAGAGAAGACAGACTGATTTTGGTCAGAGAAAGTGACTAATCCCATTTACTTCAGTGGGTTAGCACCTTGAATTGAGACTTAATCACAAGGATGCCTGGTCGAATTTAATGTTCAGAAAACTTATTACCACAAAGAACTATCTCCAGAAGCACTTAAGACATCATGGGCATGGTTTGTATATATAAGCAGCAAACCAAATGTTGCAACTAATTGGTGCATGCTCACTCACACCTTTATTGACTGCTTCTAAACCATTTATAGTGTTACCTCGCAAGACAAATGCCTCAGGCAATGAAAAACTCGCAAGACGAAAGCGTCATGCGAGTTTTTAGGTGCCCCGCAAGATGAAGATATTTTCATCTTGTGAGGTATGTTTTCCCATAGCAATGCAATGAATTTAAATTAATGCGTTCCTATGGGCCAAAAAACTCTGAAAAAGTCACTTACCAGGTAGGGGACCTCTGAAAGCGGCAATCGTGGTTGCGCGAGACCCCCGCCAGTCCTCCGATGGTGTTTCCCCAGCTCCCTACCTGGTGAGTGACTTTTTCAGAGTTTTTTGGCCCATAGGAAAGCATTAATTAAATTTCAATGCATTCCTATGGGAAAACGCTCCTCCCAAGATGAAAATTTCGCAAGATGACAGGACTCGCGGAACGATTTTCATCTTGCGAGGCACCACTTTACTCACTTAAAACCATGTACCAATAGGAATGGACCCCTCCAGATGTTGCTGGCCTGCAACTCCCTTCAGCCCAAGCCAGCAGAGCTAAAGACAAGGAATGCTGGATGCTGCTGCCCAACATTGGGATGACTGCCCTTTGGCATCCTCAGTTTGCAACTATTCCCATAAGCCCCCTTTCACAGTCTTACACTCCTTTAATTTACTCCTCCATTAAAAGGTAAAGGTAAAGGTTCCCCTTGACAATTTGTCTAGTCGTGTTCAACTCTAGGGGGTGGTGTTCATCTCCGTTTCCAACCCATAGAGGTAGCATTTGTCAGAAGACAGTTTTCCGTGGTCATGTGGCCAGCGCGACTAGACATGGAACACTGTTACCTGCCTACCATGGTGGTACCTATTTATCTACTCACATTTTGCATTTTGCATGCTTTCAAACCGCTAGGTTGGCGGGAGCTAGGACAAGCGACGGGCTAACTCCGTCGTGTGGATTCGATCTTACAACTGCTGGTCTTCTGACCTTGCAGCACAGAGGCTTCTGCAGTTTAACCCACAGCGCCACCACATCCCTTACATTACTCCTCCATGCCCACCTATTAAAGGACAATAAAACAATGATCCAGCATCTGGTCAGGCCCTCTCAGAATGTGCAAATTAAATCATCAGTTTTGTTTATACCCATAAAACAGGAAACTCTCATTAAGCAAAAAGGGATTTTGGTAATTTATTTTTGATACAAATAATTTTGCTTTTACCAAATCATGATTCATTCATTTTTTTATACTAAGCTGAGCCTGCCAGTCACCTAGTAGAAATCTCTTTTGCTGTCATAATAAATACTAAGTTCCATAATACATATACTGAAAATCACTTACAGTATCCATGCAGAAATATGAAGATCAATATTAAAGTACTTGTGTCAGGTTAGTTAATCCCCTTTAAAAGACAAAATGGGCTTTTTTGTGCCATCCCCTATAGTACACAAGAGGGTCAGAATAGCAACATGACTTGCAGAGCAGGCTGAAAAACAGATGCATTTTCCTATGGCAGATGCCTACGTTTCAGTTCATTTCTTAATTAGTTTCATTTTTCTCCGCTTGACTTGCAGAATCTCTGCTGCATCTGCATTGATTTTGACTTGCTGGGATCCTTCTCCTGCTGTCTGTTCCTGTCAATCAAAACAGATTTTGAATATCAGTTATTAAAGAAGGCTATTGTGTAATTCCCACTTAAACAAAATGTAATTAAAATGCTCATTTGGAATTTTAAATAGCAAAATATCAAACAACAAATGCCATGCAAAAGCAATCTTTCTGTGTTTAATTACTTTTGACAGCTTGGACATTGTCCTAAACAGATTATAAAGAGAAAAAATTATAAATTCAGCTATTCCAGCTTCCTTCTAATAGGACAATCATTTATATGTCTTTTTAAACATCAAAAAATGGAGATTGAAGGAGTGTTAAGGTAGCAATCCAAAACCCTGATTTTCAAGTCAAAGGGAAAGATGGGGTAGGAAACGATGGTCTGCTGTGTTCAGGAGTGTTAAGATGATTATAAGGGAATGTAGGAAAATTTGCCCTAAAGAGAGTAATTTTTAAAACTTGAGGCTTGAAAATATAGTTCATCTAAGTCATTTCAAAGCAATTAGATAACCCCAGAAAGGTCATGAATGATAAACAATCTTGACAACTAAATGAATGCTTTGGTTATGATTTGTAAATATAGAGATAAGATCAATGTAACAGGTTGATGAATGAATGAATTAAACAGATCATTGATTGTATAACCTTATAGCGTAATATTTTGGAAAATGTAAATTCATGAAATATACGTATTAAGATTCTAAGTTATTTCTGGACTGGCAGTGACCACAGGTAGAAAATATAAAGTTGGGAAAGATTGTTATAAGAAAAATGTATGTTAATGAGTTTTTACATTAGCACAAACAGTAGTTTCCTACTATTGGAAAACTTGGGTAAACAAAGAGATTATTTATAGTTAGTGAAGGACAAATAAAGGTGTAAAAATAATTGAGAACAGATAGCAAAAAAGAGGAGCAAAAAGACACAGAAGTCATGGATTATTAAAGTATTTATATGTCTAATTATATACTTGGAGGTTAAGAAAGTTATTTTCTTTATTTTTTAAAACTTTAAAGCATATTTAAAATATGCTTTAAAGCTAAAGTTTACTTAGTTATAATGCCTTTTATTTTTAAATGATGTATCTTGGAGAAAATCTTTTTGCTGTTTTAATGTAATTTTTAGGCAACTTCTTTTATTTTTTGATTCAAACATGATTTTTATTCTAAAACGTAAGTTTTGCATTTCAATGCCTGCAATGGTTCATAGTTTTAAGACTGTATAGATGGAAATAACACCTGTAACTTTTCATTAGTTGAAAGGAAGTATTTTTACGTACAGTGGTTGTCTCGACTTACGACCATAATCCATTCCAGAAGATGGTCGTAAGTTGAAATGGTTGTAAATCGAATCAGCATTTCCCATTGAAATGCACTGAAACCTGTTTAATCCATTCCGGCTGTTTTTTTGGTTGTATGTATAGGTGCTGGTTGCAAGTCGAAGCATTTGTTCCCACAGGAACAAATGCAAAAGCGGTTAATCCATCCTCTACCACTAGGGGGAGAATTTTTCTTCTTTTAACCTAAGGTGACATAGGTTTTAAAAAGGTCAGGAAAGGAGGGACGGAGGGAAGGAACAATGGGGAAAAGAGGGGGGGAAATAAGGTCATCACTGGGGCACACAGACCCCTCAGACAAAGGTTTGTGCTGTTAAGCACAAAAAGAGAGAAGACACAGAGAGAGAAGACAATGGGGGAGGAGTTTGGAATCTAAAACACCTTTGAAACAAAACACTTTAAACCAAGCACATTTTAAACCAAAACAAGCACCTTTTAAATCAAACACTTTTTAAAACAAACACATTTTAAACCAAGCACCTTTTAAACAAAACACATTTTAAACCAAACCAAGCACCTTTTAAACAAAACACATTTTAAACCAAACCAAGCACCTTTTAAACAAAACACATTTTAAACCAAACCAAGCACCTTTTAAACAAAACACATTTTAAACCAAACCAAGCACCTTTTAAACAAAACACATTTTAAACCAAACCAAGCACCTTTTAAACAAAACACATTTTAAACCAAACCAAGCACCTTTTAAACAAAACACATTTTAAACCAAACCAAGCACCTTTTAAACAAAACACATTTTAAACCAAACCAAGCACCTTTTAAACAAAACACATTTTAAACCAAACCAAGCACCTTTTAAACAAAACACATTTTAAACCAAACCAAGCACCTTTTAAACAAAACACATTTTAAACCAAACCAAGCACCTTTTAAACAAAACACATTTTAAACCAAACCAAGCACCTTTTAAACAAAACACATTTTAAACCAAACCAAGCACCTTTTAAACAAAACACATTTTAAACCAAACCAGATGCAAAAAAATTTAAAAAATTTAAAATTACAATCTAATCTTCACATTTTATTTTAGTTTAATATTACAGTCTACTTTTCACACTTTTAATCCACACTGCAAGACCCATCGGAGCACAGATTTAATATTACAGTCTACTTTCACACTTTTAATCCACACTGCAAGACGCATCGGAGCACAGAAACATAACCCCTCACCTAGTTAAGTCTCTCTGTTTTAAAAAAGAAATTCAAAAATCCAAAACGCAACCAAACCCCCCCAAGACCCATCAGAAATGGGGGAACCCCCCAAAAAAACCCACAACCCCCCCAAGACCCATCACAGCACGGAAACATAACCCCCCCAGCTGAAAGCCACGCTGCAAAAAACACCCAGAACAGTTTTTAAAAAGTAGAAAACAGCATCTTAACTCCCTGCAAACATACACATGCTCACTCCGAAGCAAGCAGTTCTGAAGCCTACGATGACGCCCATTTTCTAACTGCTGGGGCAAAAGAGCTACAAAGAAGCAGCCTCATCGCCACCTACAGTTAGCAATTTGAATTTCCCACCTTTTTCCCTGCCTTTTTCTGTGCGTAAGTGGAAGCTCCAGTTGCACGTAGAAGCAAAATTTTGCAACCAGAGCTGGTCGTAACTCAAAATGATCATTAAGTAGGGACGTTCGTAAGTTGAGGCACCACTGTTTGTACCTACTATTTTTTCATAGCTGGAAGATTTTTGTATGTTACAACTCTGAAGTAATGTGCATATGGAACATAGAAGCAATGTAGATACATAAAGGTTGTAGAGATAGATAAGCTGATATATATGTGAAGATTCTCAGTCATCCAGTGAGTTTATCTGGAAGCTGAGTCATGGCAACTGGATTTCTTCCCTACTTATTAGGTTGAAACATTTTGATACTCATCCAAGTAGCTTTTTCATGAGAAGAGTTGGTAGGAGATCCCTGATATATCCTCCAGGTTGGTTTCACTTCCCCCTGGACAGACCAACTCTCCTCAGACTGAAGAAGCTACTTGGATGAGTAGCAAAATGTTTCAACCTAATAAGAAGTCCAGTTGCCACGACTGAACTTCCAGATAAGTCAAGCTGATGTTGCCTGAAAAAGTCACTGAAAAGGCTTTTTTTCCATGATACTCAGATGAATGTTGATGTGATTGACTGTGATTGTTTAGTTTCTGGAGTTAACCCTTTAAATGCCAGCTGTAACAAACAAAAGCTTCTGATTTTTCCCCCTGGAGGTCTATGAAATTTTGTAGGACTCCTGGGATGGGGGGGTAGGGGTTTCAAGCATTGGCTGAACCAACCTGACAGCAATTTCCATATCTGTCACTGAGTCGGCTTCTACAGCCATGGAAATCCCTATAGGCATGTCTGCAGTGGGGTCTTACCAAGTCATGGGCCTGAGAATCTGTTAATTCTGAAAATCCCATAGTGCTCCTGGATCCATCACATACCAAGCCTTTTTGCTCCTCTCATGTCAGCTGAGAATTCTAGGGCTTCATATAAAAAAGTAAACTTTTCAAGCTCTTGGAAAAGATGGAGAATAGTTCCTTACTAAAGAGTAAAAAGAGAAACTAAAATGAACTTTAGCAGTCTTCTTGGGACTAACATTTGGATTTAGGCCTTGGTCTTTTACTCTACTGCCATATGAGACATACTGAAGGCCAAGGTGAAAAGTGAGGAATAAGAACAACCAGCATGCACTGGAGTCTGGCATCTGGGGTGCTTTTAAAAAGTGTCTTGTTTATTAACTTACAGTGTCCAATGCATATTCATCCCAATTTCCTGGAGGCACCTCTTCCTGAGCATATGCTAACTCGGCAGCCCTTCTAGCCATTTCCACTTTGTAAGAACCTGGAGGGGTCCAGCCAATACCTTTGATCCAGTTCAAGTCAGATTTGTACTTGACCTTCAAAGGCAATGAAGAGTTATTTGCAGAGTTCTATGTCAAGCTATACATGTTTCTAAGATGCCATATATATATATATCATGTAAAACAACATCTTTAGCTTTTCCCCACAGACAACACTGAATTCATTTACAGTAAGAACAAATTTCTAATATCAAGGAAATGGTTACAAAGCAAGAGCTGAAGACCAGACTGAATATTGTGCATGTTCATTGTTTATACTACGTCAGTGTGCAAGCAGTGATCGTTTAAACAGCAGCCATAAGAGTTCTGCCAAAAGTTCAAGTAAGAATAGAACATGCGTGACCAATGTACTTGTCAGTTATTTTCTGGAGCCTGCAGTTCCAATGAGATCAAGGAACAAATAGTTCCCCAATTTCACAGCTCCATTGCTGGAGTCAAGAACTAGGGAGAGGGCTGCTTTTAAAAACTCTGAGTTTTTTTAAAAAAAAAAAAAAACCAAAAAGTTGTGGCTTCTCACATTTAGCAGCAAATTTTTTATCCTGCTTATCTTTTGTTGCTATTGCCATAAGTGGTAACTAGAGATGGGCAGGAAATGAACCATGAACTAAAAAACTTGACGAACTAGGCTGATTCATGGTTCGTTTCATGACCCAGTTTGGGCATCCCTTTCTGCCAAAGCGAAAGAAAACACGGACTTCTTTCCTTTGCTTTGGCAAAAATGGATGCCTGCCCGCTCCCTTCCCACTGCCTCTGTTGCCTCCACTTATCTGCTCCTGAAGCCTCCACCACTACAGGTGCCATCTTCAGGGTCAGCAGGCCTGGCTTCCCGTATTTTTTTCTGGGCGTCTGTGATGATCCGTGGTTAGCTACAAACCACGAATCATCACAAACCACCAGTTTTCAAGTTCATGCCCATTTCAAGTGGTAACAGTAGCAAATGAATAATCTTCTTCTATGGCCCAAGCAGCACCCCAGACTCTCTAGGTGCAAGGATGATTCCTAGGTCAAAAAAATACAATTGCTAATAGAAAAAGTTAGCAGACTCCTACTAGCATCTTTCTCTACAAATCTCCAGGGTTTTTTAAATATATATACCTGTATATTGTTTGAACGTTATTGTCAAATCTTTTTTCTGGATCAATATATTACAATTCACTTCCAACAAGGCACTCTGCATTTTGCAGCTGTCTTTTGTCTCCCTCTGGGTTTATGAACCAGATGGCCATTTCTCGACCATGACACAAACACATCTCCATATCTGTTCACTCTAATTTCTCTCTATCCTTTTAAAAGAATAGTAAACTTACAGTGTGTTTATTTATGTAGTTAATCAACTTTTTAAACCGATCACATTATGGATGTTTAGATGATTGAATAAGGTTATGATCTTTTTGGTGCAGAAGCAATAGGAGTTTGGAAAGATCAATTTTTAGACTACAGTTCCCAAAATCCCCAAGCCTTGAGGAAAAAGTAATACATAAAAATAATGTCTAGACTTTTGAGTAGTTGGCTTGCCTCTAGCCCTGGAATGAGGTTCCAGTGTAGAGATCAAAGCTACTTACATCACTCTGAAGTTTGGAAGCTTGTTTAGCATGCTTGAGATTCAGCTGTTCTGGGTCACATGTATAATGATGCAGGTGCTGCCTGTAATTTACATCACTGATCAATTGTTGACTTTTCTTTGCATGGATAAATCCCGGCTGATCAATTTGGCTCTTGAATTGCGCTTTGCTTCTGACAAAATCCCTCTTGTATTCATTGTCACTCTGGAGGTGGCCCATCTTGAGGAAATGTCTCATTTTAGGATCATCATGAACATTTCGAAATCCAATCTGCTGACCCCTGTCCCTTAGGAAGGCCTCTTTGTACCTGAACTGCAGGGAGTTGACACAGGCAAAGGTTATTTTCTTACAATGGCTTGTTCAAGCACCATTCATGTAATTTCATTGTGTATGCACATGCTGTGGCTTGCGTATGGACACAAAACTTAGTGAATTCAAGTTGCTGTTATTTAAAAGCAGAATGCAAAGCACTTTGCTGAACTGATTTTGGAAACAATTACGGTATTTGCACACTTTTTACACACAGTTATACCACTAATAGCATACTAAAATGAATGTTTTTTTTCAGACAGAGCAATCTAACATCAGGTTGAAGAGAAGATCCTCCACAGAGTGACCTCTATCTAGAAACACGGTAGCTACAGGAAGCCAACACAGAAAATATGATTTATTAACCTTTCCCCCCTCCCTCACACCCTTCCTGTTTTTGGCTTTATGTTCCCTTCCACTGAAACCAGCAGGAAGGAATAAGCTTATGACATCCTAGGGCCTCAGACAGGAACCTGTGGCTTCATGGTGCATGTGTCTGCAAAGAGGCTGAAGTCATGTGAAGTCACTCATGCAATACTCTCCGAATGCTGTATTATGGCCATCAGAATTGCACCTACAAAGCTTCCTGGGAGTTAAGTTGGCGCCTCCAGAGTAGACATTCTCTGCCAGTGGAGCACATAACAGATGATCCTTTACCCTCCACACTTCCAAGCAATCTGCTATTTAAAGTATTAACAAGCAGGAATAAAATAGTAACAAATCACATGAAAAGGACTACACATCTTGGAAAGCATGAGCCACACTTGATACCTTATAAAACCCATGAGACTTAACATGATCTCAAACTTCTTGGACTCAGTGACACTTAGATACATTTGGATTTCTCGAGACTATACTCTTGACTATTGCAGTCTCAGGCTGGCCCCACAGATCATGAAAACATGTGCCAATAAAAGCAGCATTACAGCATAAAAGACAGGTTGGTAGGTATTTTTCATATCATATCATCCTTGCTTTTCAGGAAAAACTCAAGGAAACATATGTGTAAGAATCATATGCCCAGAAGCTCCAGCCAATTGCAACTCCTTGCTGCATATTTCTCACATTTTTGAACACAAATGTCTTGTCAATTGGTAGAGAAAAGTCATGGATGGCATAACAGCCTATGACACAGGAAAAGGTTGTCTGAATTAGTTGTACAGTGGTCCTCAGACTGCAGTACCAATGTAGTGTTGTATTAGAAGAATATCCACTAGTCGATAGCTACTACAAAAGGTATCCTTTCCCTTAGCTTCACATATCTTACAGGGTTACTGTGGAATAAATTGGTGGAAAATGAAACTTATATACTTAAGTTTCTTGGACAAAGGTTGAATGTAAAAGTAAGTAATTAAACAAAAAATTTAAAAAAATAATAATTACATCACTGGCAATTTCTCTGGAAGCTTTAGCTGTCTGGAAGGGGATGGCATCCAGTCGGAAATCATAGCCAGCTTGCCGCATCTGCTCCCAAGATGTTTTATACAGTTTCTGAAATAAAGGGGGAAGTAAAAGAAAGGAAAACATTACCCTGGCTTCATTTGCAGTCCTTTTGTGGTTTCAGTGATAAATATTTGATTTTATTACAATCACTAGCCTGTGGATCACTAATGAAGGCCTGTAAGATTTGACACTAGCCTGTAATCCTGCACTTCCTCACCTGCAGAATAAACTGATATAGAGTCCCACTCGTGAAGAATCCCAAACAATTAGGATTTTGCTTTGAATTTCATGCATACATTGATTTGAGTTTATTTGGTTTTTGTTAGGCACTTTGATGCATCAGCCGCATCAATATTGCATTGACAATGCCCTTATTCTGTCTTTTGAAACATCTAGTAGCAGTATCTGGGGCTTTACAGCATAGAAATTTCAGTGCTCCATTCTCCACCATCTATGACTTCAAACATTTCTAAAGCTTCCTGTGCTAGCTCCAGACCCTGATGGCTTCATCAACGTATCTAGAATAATGAGCCACTTGATAACATATTGGTTATGATTAACGATCTAATCAAGATGCAAATTCTGCAGAGGATATCCCAAGCCCTGTTTCAGTTCTAAGTTTCAGATCATAAGTTTTAGATCATAAACCCTGTTTCAGTTCTAAGTTTTAGATCATAAGTTTTAGATCATAACCTCTGAAATGATTGTGAGCTGCTGCTGACACCACCACTGTTCTGCAAGAGAAATGTTTGACCAGTTAGGCCATCAGGATTATTGCAGCAGCAGCAGCAACAACGACATTGTAAGTCTAGCTTGGATGGCTGTCTTCTGGTCATATTAAAAATATAACAAGCCGAAGTCATGTTGCTTAGGTCACAGAAAAAGATTTCCCTGAAGGAAAGACAGTGATAAACTCTACCTATGGACATATTCCAATGGGGCTCTTCTCAACTTCATCCCCATGGAAAGTAGAGAGATAAGAAAGAGACATCCGCCTAGAGTGGTCCTAATACGACCAGATAGGCGGGATATAAATAAAATGATAAAATGATAAATAAATCCGCCTTTCCCAGTGAGCTAGCAGCTCCTGACAAATTCTGACAAAGCTCCTGACCAGACAGCCATTCTATTCTCCTACAAATCCATAATTATGGATCCAGCATAATTATGTCAGCAGTTATCTTTGGCAAGGCGAAAAGAAAAAATATGGGAGACGGTCCATTTGCCCCATACACAAAACAATAAAAATTCAATTTAAAAAAAAATAAAAATCACACAGGGCCCTTTGAAAGAGCATTTCTAGATAAATCCTTAAAGTCACTTTGAATAATTGGATTAAGACAATTTGGAATCCCAAGCAATTGTGGAGAAACAATCATGAAACAAAGTTTTAAGGCTAGAACATGGTGATCTACAAATAGTCATAAGCCTAAATATGGCGCTTCTCTCAGCTTAATAGATCTATGTCCACCAGCAAGACACAGCCATGTCCTCTCTCCCCTTTTTAAATCTGGTAAGCTTTTGCCTTGCTGGCGAGGATCATTCTGCAACATGGCTCCTTTGATGCGGAGCCCCATGCGTTGTTTCACTTTATCACAGTTTGCACAGTTTTTGCACTCATCCTCACACATTACATTCATTTGATTTCTACCTATCTTTGCAGCGGCATGAATACCAGTGTATGTGTTTTTGAGCACGGCAAGGTCACTCTGTCTCAACAGCTTTCTGTGTGTGGCATCTGATCCAATTGTGTATCTACCAAAAACAGTTTCATTTTTAATGAGAGGCCCCCAACTCCTCCATCTCCCCACGTTCTCACTGGCTGTTTCAGTTCAGATACATGCTGATCCATTTGAATGTTTTGAGAAGAAACGGAACATATCAGACTTACAACTGTGACATTCATCTGTGCACGGCAATACTGTTCTAACTACATGAGCAATATATCTCACTTATTCTTTTCTTCTGACATGAGAGGCAAGGTTTGTCAGTGTACAATGCCAAACCTGCTTCCTGCTTCTCCTTCTTTTAGAGGCCAGAATAAGCTTTCCCACATAACCCTTTCCTCTTTAAGATTCTAGTAATTGACTGAATGCATTGTTTTGTATAATGCAATTTGGCATAAGTTTTTGAAAAGGACTTGAACTCATTTGTCAAAGAAGTGTTGACATAAATATGTATGTTATGATTCCTTTTTCTCACCAGTTAAAGGGGGCATCCTATTTTAATCCGCAAAATTATATTATTTATTTTTATTTATTCATTTTTTTAATTTATATGCCGCCCACTCTACCCAAAGGTCTCTGGGCGGACCCAAAGGTCTCTGGGCCAACTGGATGGCTACAGAAGTAGAGCAGAACCCTTGGGCCCAAATGAGCTTACATTGATACTTCAGTGTCCAACGTATTAGCCATGATTCAGTCCAATTATTTACAAAATTAATTCCCTACAAGAAAAAGAACTGTCACTTACATCACTGATATGGAGAGCATTGAGACGAGCCCTTATGAACTCAGGGTGGTCAGGGGGCAGAGTATACCTATGCATGGAGTCCAAATGGCCAGCTCGATATAGACGCTGTAAAATCAAATAAAAATTTTAATTTAATTTCACAATATCTGCAAGGATGACAGAGGGCTAACCCCGCACAATCTTGTGAACAAATGTGTGCAATGCATGTAATATAGAACTCATGCTTATGATAGTTGTCCTAAGACAAAACACTGCTTTGTTAAAAAAAATATCTATATTCTATGTTATTTTAAAAAACAGGGACATTTAAAAAACAGAACAAGTTATTCTGATGACTGTTGCAACAAGATGAAATGGAGACAACATTAATTTACAACAATAAAATCTGTGTACTTTTGCAGATCATAAGTCAGTATCAGGTGATGGCCTTAAGAACAGTATTTCATTTGCTCTCAAGTTTGCTCTACAATTGTAACAGATCAATTCCTAAGACATAAAAATAGAAGATCCAGTGGTAGGCAGATTCCACTCTATTCAATTCAGATATGGATCAGCAATTATGTTCATGTAAAGGGGACATGGTGGGTTAAACTACAGAAGCCTCTGTGTTGCAAGGTCGGAAGACCAGCAGGCGTAAGATCAAATCCATATGACGGAGTGAGCTCCCGTCGCTTGTCCCAGCTCCTGTCAACCTAACAGTTCGAAAGCATGTAAAATGGAAGTAGATAAATAGGTATCACCATAGTGGGAAGGTAATGGCATTTCGTGTCTAGTCACACTGGCCGCGTGACCACAGAAACTGTCTACGGACAAAACGCTGTCTCTATGGCTTGGAAACGGTGATGAGCACTGCCCCCTAGAGTCGGACACGACTGAACTAAATGTCAAGGGGAACCTTTACTTTTACCTAACCCCTATTAAATATTGGTTCAACCCAAAAGTGTGGGACTAAGAAAGAGCGGGGCTATGAGTAAGAGATTTAAATCAGAAAGAGCAAGAGAGCTGAAGAAGCTGGAGTTGCTGTTGCCACTTAAGACTGCTAAGGCTCTTGCCAACTTGATCTAGGGTTTTGAAGACTATGCATGTGGAGCTGATTGTTCTATGTTATGGATCCCCAACCCAGCTGAGGAAGACACCTTGGATTTCTGTCTGAATTTGAATTCAAAAGGACACTTGAACTTTGCCATTCTACAAGAAATTTCTATATTAGTGCTGTTGCCAAGGACTTGGGTGCACATATTGTAGCATTTTATTGTTGTTATAATTCCTCATGTTGTGTGTTATACAACTGTGAATAAGAAAAGACTCATTTTTGCGGATTCCTGTTTGTAAGGTTCATCAATAGGCATCTAAGTAAACAAATAGTCCCATAGAACATAAAAGTGCTACACTTACCCCATCACTGGAGGATATATATGAAATGAGGGGTTTTACTTGTTTCTAAGAATCCTAAATTAAATTAAAATGCTGGTTGTATCATGTCTAGTAGTACTGAGGAGCTATGACTCACAGAATCAAGAGTGTTTACACATTCAGAGTAATAGAAAAACTCATACCATCTAGCACATCCCTCAACCTTCCTTGCTCCCTTAAAAGTTACTTGCACTCTCCATAGTAGATGGAGGTGGCAGGGCTGCTAGCACTAGTCCATTGATCTATAAGGTGAATTCTTTATCCCTAGTGGAAATACCTGAAATATCTCAAGCTGGAGTGTTTGTACATATAAATACACATACACAAAAATAGATCAACATAGTGACCTGCATTCTTGGACTCAGCCTCGATTCTACTATAGCACAACTATCAATTTAGCACTGTGCCAATATTCATATCATAATTCCTTTATGTTTTTGTATATATCTAAAAATGCATCTGTCCATGTTAGTTAGAAAAATGGACAATGTATGGATATATATAATCTATTTCTCTAACTGACATATAAATATGACAGATGCATTCATCATAACTGATACATGGCTATTCTCCCCCCACTCCCAATTCAAAAGCTAAAAGACATTGTGGGAAAGTCCATAAAGTTCCATTAAAGCTTGGAAAGTAACTTTTAAAAATAATGATCCTGAAGACATGCTACAGCAGCGACAGAATTATGCTTTAGGTTCCTGGAGTGCCATCTTACCACTGTTCAATTATGGATGACTTAAGCCTGTCTACGTATTCATGCTTCATAGAAGTGACTTTCTAAGCTATGCCTGAACCTCAGTAGGAAAAATGCTGTACAAATCCTTGAGCATGTTTGGCCAAGGGTTAGGAAACTTTCCCAACATGAACAACCTGAATTTTATCCAAGGGTTCTTCATGCACTTACTATTTGCTCTCTTCATTATACTTTATTTCCTTGAGCTTTTGAAATCACAGCAAGGGCAAATGTATAATATAACTCTAAGCTTCAATGCTCAATGTAAATTCTACAAATGCTGAAACCTGCAGGAGAAAATCTTGTGCATTCAGCATCTAGTTATAGATATAAAGGATCCCAGCACAACTTTAAGAGGTTAGTGCTACCAAATCCCAGTACAATTTTCCTAGAATTTTTACTGCAGTGTCATATAATGTAACACAACAGAAAGCACTGGCAGATATCTTGTTCGTTTACGTACATAGAAAAAGTGTCTCAACAAAAGCAAACACAGTGACAGTAAATCTTACTTCAATGATTATGACAGACCAGACTTTTCCATTTCACCTTAAGTGCAGCAGGATAGTTTGAGGAAGGAGGAAGGCAGAAGGCATAGCACACACAGTTGCACCCACCACATCACTGGTCCTCACCTGCCAGTATCCATTGTCTAAGTTGGCTTTCTAACTGTGCCTAATGATAGGACTGCCTTGGATTTGTCAGCCATCTGCTAACATGAACTGCTGACAGCTAAACCAACTTTCCCCCAGTGCCATGATTTTGAACAGTATTTGACAGGGTTGAGGAACATCCATGGATAACCAATCAAATCTATACTTTACCTCATTGCATTGAATGTAGCTGTTCCTAGCATGGATGAAGTCCAGAGAGTCAGTCACTGTGGTGAACTTCTGACTATCTGGTTTCTGCCGATATTTTGTCTGCAAATGGGGAAACAAATCAATAAAGACTGCAGTTATAAACTGAGCTGAAGACAATTTAATGGGAGTGACAGCAGGCAGAGAAAGAACATTTTCTCTATATGAAGTAAATACGTGTGTTGTATACTGTATTGTTTTAGACTGGGGTCTTTTAAAAAATGACTTAATTATCATTGAGAGAGAATAAGAAGGGAGTGGTTATGTGCCTAAGTAGATGAAATGTCATGTGTGACAGAAATGTATTTATTTTTCCTTAGATCCAGATATTCTCCAGTAGGTTTTGTCTATGTGTATGTAGGACCACATAAACAGGAAAATCTCTTCTTTTCTGTGCTTGTCATAACTGTAAAACTGACCAGTATGATTCAAATATATTATGACAGTGATACACACAAAAAAGACATTCCTTCCCTCGGCTAACAGACATTATACTCAAAAAATGTCATATTCTGTTATTTGTGGATCTCTAAACTATGGACTGGGCTGTTTCCTTTATTAACGAGTGATGCTGATCAGGATAAACCACTCTCAGTTTTGTTGTCAGTTTCATGTATCCAGTTTTTAAAACTTTGTACCACCTGGTTAGCATTCCACTGTTATACTTGCTGATTTTATTTGTTGCTCAGTGTTTCTGTTGTTTAGGGACTCTTGCTCAGGGTAGAAAACATGCAGCAGAATGTCACAGGTGGACTCCTATCTTGTGCACTGCTCTTTGGTAGTGTTCGCCCATTGTATAAACAGGCTCACACATCAAAAGGAAATGCTAAGCTACATCCATAAGTGTCATGTAACAAGGAGCCTTGATAGTAAACAATTCTTACAGACGTACCATCCCATGAAAGATTTATCAGTACCTCACTGATGAGTTCTCCAGCCTTCTTTACATTTTCTATCTGTGGGGATCTCAGAGCCACCCAGCCAACCCCCTTCATGAAGTTCAGATCTGATTTATAGCGAGACTGTCAAATAAAAACAAAACAAAGAAATCCTTAGATGTTATCGGGTTTTTAGATAAGACTCCCTGATTTTATTAATATCTTTTCCTATTTTCCATGTGTAAATGAGCATATTCAGCCAAACTCTTCTGCATTCATCCATTACTTTTAGAATTAAATAATGTATCATATAAAGACTCCTACAACTAAAATAATCTGCTTGCAAACAGAAAGTAATAAAACTACTTGAGACAAATTGTCTCAATAAAGTAAGCTATGACTGTTTGCAAGACCTGAGCAGAACTTACTGGAAAAGTCAATATTGCTAGGGTAGGGAAGGCACTAGGAAGAGAAAACAATATAACATGATGTGCTGTTGGTTTATAAGAGCTGAGCAGTGCTGTTAATGATAGGATATTTCAGAGTTTATTTATTAATATAGTCACCATATATTAGAAGGTAATTATATGAGTTAAAGACTTGATGGCACATAATATCTTTGGAGTTGTTTTTAATTACCAAACAATTGTATAGTGACAAGATGGGTGAAATAGTTGAGACTGTGACCGGATATAGGCATCAAAGCCTGGCTAGCATCGAGTCAGACCTTTCCCAGCCACCAAGCAAAAAAAAAACAAAAAACAAAAAACAAAAAAAAGTAATTTCCCAACTTAAATGAATTAGCTTTTGAATATTTGTTTTCTATTCTTTAAAAAATATTTTTAAAACTATTTTTATAACCAGACACAGAATGCATTTGCAACCACAAATCTTTGTTTGGCCAGGAAGGAGTTAAACATTCCATTTGTTTCTGATTGACAGGTTCAGACTTGAGGCGAAGCTGATTTCCCTTTGAAACTTGTGTCAGGAGGTAGTCTCAGAAATCCTGAGAGAATGTTTACTGAAAGCACTCAGGGCTGGGACAAACACAACTACTTTTTTCTTTTGTAATGCAGAAATACGTCTAAAAACCAGTTTAAAGAAAACCTGCTTTTTGACTCTTTTTCTGTAATATTTAATAATAGCCCTAAGCTATCCAAATATCTCCCTTCCCCACCCATGGAACTGCAACAATTTGTAACGTTCTTGCTGGGATGCCTGTTCCATGCACACTCAGTGTGATAAAAAATTATTGTTTCTCCCTTTTGAAAAACCTTTTTGAGGACTAGTATTTTAGTCACCATAGCCTGAACTGTTTCCAAATAAAAAAACCACATGAATGGAACCAACCATTTTCTTTCAAGATTGGTACTGGTATTTTCATATCCTTTTTTTTTTCTTCCTATACTGAATAACATTCCAAATTGCAAAATGGAACATGGTAATTGAAATACTGGTATTTTCAGTTTCTCATTTAAATTTCAGCTAACCCGCCCTAGTGGGTTGTTTTTTGAGTAACACTGTTTGGCAATCAAAATGGCCTTGCCTCTATTAAAACAGATTCTTAGCACAATAACTAAGCTGCACATTACTGGATGACTTTACTCTTTGAGATTTTCTGATCTGCACTGTGCATTGCCTTTGTCTCGCTACAAAAAAACAGAAGCAAGGCATTTGATACATTTGCTGTTGTTACAGGAAAACCCAGCAAGGATTCCTTAGTTTTCTCATTTACTGTCACAAAAGAGGTAAGGCATGCTGAGTGTAGAACTCTTCCATGTTCCATTTTGCAATGATGGTTTGGAATGTTATACAGTACGTATAGGAAGAAAAAAAAGGATGAGCATACTTCTACTTTCAGTTGACCCTGGGCTTCAAACGATAGCATTTCGTGATATATTTGTTTCTCTAGACAAGCTTCTGCTTCTAGTTTAAAATGTAATAATGTCCCAGAGCTAACTTTTAATATCGCCTGCATTGTATAAGGACTACAAAGTTTTGTTTTTTTCTGTATTATTGAGGATACTGTCAAGTGCCACAGCACTACTTAGAAGACAACATGGATACTTTACATCAGCCAAACAGAACTGCAGACTGAAAAAAAACCCCATCTGCTTCCAATCCCTAGGTAATACTATTAATTTGGCTGCAATTGGCTTCACATGGTAGGCAAACTAAATTTTATTCACAATTTTCTGATAGTGGGTTTGCCACTTCTTTGTGTAATCTCATTCCCAAGTCAAATAGAAACCATAAGTTTCTAAAGAAGGAAATGGGAGTGGGGAAGATTCTGAAAACATGGAAGCAGTATGGTTGGAATGTTGAAAGAGATTCAACCAATGCCCATCAGCATGAAATCTGAAACCTACACACCTGTCTTGTGTTTACCACTTGCATTTTGGAAATCCCTTTCAAGAAACAGACTTGGAATGGACAAATGCAATGACTTTTGAAACTTTATTTTTTTCTCTCTTTGCTATCTACAATTAGAGATGGGCAGGAACTTTGGTTTGGAGGTTCATGCCAGTTCATACACAGGTGACATGCCTCCCCAGCCAATGACCCACTCACCAACCTGGTTTGCCTGTCCTGACTCCTTGTCTTAGTGGGAGATTAGGCAAGGAGGCGGGGCAAGAAAGCCTGTGCTCCTGCCAGAGACTGGTTGAACAGTCAAAGAGGAGGAGGAGAGGACTGTGTGCTGGCTGGTGAGTGGAGGATCCAGCAGAGGAAGCAGGGGAAGGAGATGTGTGACACGTATGGTGCTATGTGTATGAAACACCACAAATCTCCGGACTGAGGCTTGTCTCATTTCTACCCACAATATTTTGGTGCACAGCCTGATGAAGACTAGCATAAGTCAAAAGCTAGCATTTTTTATTTTCTACTTTTTTAGTAGTCTAAAAGGTATCACCTGCTCTTTTAGTAGTCTAAAACAGTGGTTCTTAACCTTTGTTACTCAGATGCTTTTGAACTGCAACTCCCAGAAACCCCAGTCAGCACAGCTGGTGGTGAAGGCTTCTGGGAGATGCAGTCCAAAACTCCTGAGTAACCCAAGGTTAAGAACCAGTGGTCTAAAAGGTATCACCTGAGTTCAATAAGCAACTAGGACCCTAAAGATACAGACTATTTTTTTCCTAGTAAATAGCCTTATTGTTGTTTTGAGTAAACATAGGAGTGTACCCCTTTTATTCATAGTAAGCCATTCTGTTCATTGCAGCCACAAGGTAAGTAGATAGCCACCCTCCCACAGTGTTATTGGCATTAAGGCTCATGAAAGGTTACTCTTTACCTCACTCTGCAACAGGTGAGCTCTCTTGGCCCATTTCATCTTCAAGTCCTCAGGGATCACTGTGTAGTCATGAAGTCTCTTCCTGTAATCCTGGTCACTCACTAGGTTCTGGGCCTTCCTGGCATGGACTAGGTTGACCATGTCGAAAGGAAGGCGGTAGTGAGAAATGATATCTCTGGAGCCTCTCTTGTATTCCTGTTCACTCTGTAACTTAGCTGCATACAGGCAGTGTAGCAGATTGGTATCATCAAGAATGCTTTTGGCACCAATGTGTTTGCCCTTCTCCTGAACAAAGTTATGTTTGTACTGAAGCTGTGGGAGAAAAGCAAACATCTTTCAGCTTGAAATCATGCATTTTGGTTCCTGTAAAAAAAAAAAACAGGTAGCAAAGTCCAAGTAATTAAAGGAAAATGAGTTAAAATGGAATTGAGAAGTATAATGTAAAATTCAAAATGTGTGAGAGATGTTGATTATGTCACCAATGTGTTGTGTTTGTTTTTGACATTGCATCCTTTCTTTTCATGTTCACAACATTATCACTCAATTAATATGGCTCACAGCCACCATATTCTAGAACATGAGGTTTTCACTCCTTAAACAGCATGGTTCTATACATATCTGTTCAGAAGGAAGTACCGAATTACCGTAACTGATAGGTCTTACTCCTAGATGTGTGCCTTAAGGATTGCAAAGAAATAGTTCTGAAAGGTTACAAGAGCATTGCAGATAACTGGGAGAAAAAGTGTAGAAATGGATGGCTTTGTTCCTGAGATCGTAATTCCTAGTTTTAAGACATTTTTTCAGAAAAACTGAGAATCAGCTTTAGGTGGACCATACCTCAAAAGTCTCTGAGGTAATCTGAACCTCCAGAAGCAGAAGGTTGGTCAAACTGACATCCCCTCCATGGTATACTGAACCTCACACTGAAACAAATGGGTTAGTCTAAAACATGTGACAAGCAACATTCCCTCTAAGTTTCTGTCTTGCTGTGCAGGAGTCTTGCTCCACGTGCGTGGGGGTGGACAGGGCTTAATTTGAAATGGGTAATAAACAAACAGCTGTGAGCTGCCTGTGCACAACCCCAATGGAGCTCTGGGTGAGCGCGTGCACAGCTTAGAGAGAACATTGGTCAGAAGACTTTTTAAAATTTTGTTTCACAGAAACCTGTATTGTTATGCATGCTCAACTTTCCACTTCTCTTCATAGTTGTTCAATGGAACATTAAAAAAAAATAAACACATTAAGTATTTGCTGGATTTGCTCTAGGTAAACTGGAATTGAACATCCAGAGAATTTTTTTTTCCTTGTGCAATTCCCTCTGCAAGATCTTCAGCATGGCTTGGCTTCTGATTAACAGTGACTTTTCTCTCTCTCTCTTTTAATTCACACAAAGACTCTCATTCATAAGTAATATATTCTGTCTCACATCCTTGTCTCACATGATTATGGGGCTGCTTTAATTCAGTAAAATCTGCTTTAGACAATGTATTACATGAAGTTAACAAAAATTAGGCAAGATGGAAGGCTGCATAATTCAACTCACATCACTGGCAATTTCTCTTGAGGCCTTGGCAGTCTGGAAAGGGATTGCTTCCATTGTCAGCTTGTAGCCTTGAGCACGGAGATTATGCCAAGATTCCCTGTATTTTGCCTGAAGTGGAAATGGCAACTTCAGATTTCTTGGTTAAATTTTAAAATGCAAATAAATTAACAAAAGGAAGCGCTGCAGAACTTGCAAAGCATTTCGTATCTAGAGGTTTGTTTGTTTTTTAATCAGTTGTAGAAAGAACCAGTCAGATGATATGTAAACCAAACTATGAAATAAATGTGAGAAATAATTCCTTATATGGGTAGGACACACCTTTCTCCTTGTGGAAAGCCTGTGAGACCACAAAGTTTAGATAGCAACATTAGTCAAAAATAATCCCAGTCACAGAATCTATTTCAGTATGTGATAAATTCAGTATTTTGGAAGTTTGGAAATTAAACCTTTTGGACTACATCTCCCAGAATCCCCTGCCACACTGGCTCTGCCTGCTGCCTAAGGATTCTGGGAGCTATAGTCCAGAAAAATAATTTTCCAAAGCTTTGTTTGAGACAAACTGGTCAATCTATTTCTGATGGGTGTCAATTTCAAACGTATTCATTCAAAGTCTCAGACCATCTCAGTTTCACATTGTGCATTTTTTTCTTGTGTGTGTGTTTTTTAAAAAAATACTGAATTTATCACATACTGAAATACATAAATAAATCAATGTCATTGAAAGTATTTGTTGGCCTCATGTTCCCCAAGCATCATTCCTCAGCACCTACCGAGTCCAGAGGATTATAAGGGGCGTTCACAGGTAGGAAAGCGAGACTGTTTGTCTTTTTGACTCTTCAACATCTACTTCCTCTCTTATTAGACTAATATTCTTATTAACCCATCAGTCTCACTTCTTTTTATTTATGATTCCCTCATGTGCTTCCTGGGACACACATCTATCCAGTTATGATTAGAATTTAGCTAAACAGTCCCATGAATAACCAGATACTAACATAAATAAATTAGCAGCAATCAAATATAACATGCAACATGTGTAAAAAACTCATAAACCAGAGCTAGATGACAGGGCAGACAAATATTAATAAACAAATAATCATCAGTCAGCTACTTGACACGGCCAAGTGCAGAAAAAACAGCAATGAAGGCCAGAATCATATGATATATTGATATATTTATAACTCCATTGGCATAAAATACAACCAACAAGAAATCATCATAGGCATTTGCCATCATACATCAAGTAATGTGATGAGAATTTCTAAACTTGCACATTTTGCTTTTGAAATGTATGCCAAACAAGATAGGCCAATTTAGTAACGTGATTCTACCCAAAACCTTTGTGTAAGAACTAATTTAAAAATGCCTGTATCCAGCAGTCTATCTATGAAGTTTGTGATAGGAGACATATACCTAATGATTTGGAGGAGTGGGGTGTGTGTGTAAAAAAAATGTAGTACAGAACTAAGCACTTACCTCACTGACATTGATTGCATTCATTCTTGCCCTTTCAAATTCTGGAAGGCCCAAAGTTACTGTGTAGTGATGCAATGCATTCTCCCCTGCTGCCTTGTACAGGCGCTAGGACAGATTTTGTTGGGAGGAAGGTACAGTTAATAATATATCCCTTCAAATTTGATCAAGCTATGCATTTCAATGGTTTGTTAAGTGAACTAAAGCAGCCATTCTCAACCTTTTTTGTCTATGGCCATAAACACAATATGAAAGAGATATAGGCTAAATCAGGATTGTATGAGTCTCACAATGAACCTTATAAGTTTGTGTGTGAAGAATTGTTTTCAATCTGTGCCCCCTTCAAATGTGCCAAGACCCCCCCCGGGGGGGGGGCTATACAGCCTCTACTGAGAATGGCTAAACTAAAGAAATATATATTTCCATACCAGAATGTGTCTCTCCTACCTCAAGATCATCTTAAAGAAATGTTTTTGCCTCATTGGTATAGCACTTCCTCTGAATTTACACCCTTCATCCAAGTCCCTATTACTTCCAGGAAATGATTTTTCCCCCAGATATATTCTTCAATTGGGGGGCATCTGGGGTCTGCAAAAGCAGCTCTGGGGGAAGCTCACTTTGCTCACCTTGTCCTAGAGAAGTAAACTTGGTGGATATGGGAGCAAAAACCTTCCGTGTATATGCATGCACACTATTGTACTACAGACCTTGAGACAGATGAAATTATGAGACATTACAGACCTTTAGACAGGTTGTAAACAAAGGGGTTTTGCTCTTCAATTTCCCTTGTTTTTCACACTAGGTCAATTGTATTAGTTTTGGTTCACTTTCTGTTTTGTTTGGAAGTGTTAGACTTTTTGTGTGTATGCCTTTACCATAAATCACATCAAACCCTCAATGAGTAGAAGATGACTCACAAATATACTACATACTGTACATGATCTTAGACAAAAACAGAGGAATCCTGTGGTAAATGTGTGGTGAAGTGATGGATAAGGGAAGGAAATGCTAGGTTCTGCTCAAAACAGTGGTAGTTTTACCCCAGGCTCCATCCAACTAATGCATGGAGTGGGGGAGAATGAAATTGACTCCAGATCAATACAAATGTGGGGTTTATGGGACCTCTCTGTGGAATGAAAACACTTTGACCCAGAAGATCCAAAGCCATTTCCAATATGCTCCCAGAAAGCCCTGTTTTACAGTCTGTCAGAACTGGAAACATTGTCAGTGATATATCTACACCAACAGGGCTCTCTGTGGCCTTGATGGAGATCCACACAGAGGACATGCAAGCCTCCATTTGGTGGTGCTTCTCGCCACCGGCTGAGGGCTACATCCATTTCACCCAAGTTGCACAATGAGCACTTTAAGGCCAAAATTTGTGTTACTAAGGAGGGCAAAGATAAGCAGTAAGACATGGTGAGTATCTAGAAGAGGCTCTTGGCCAATTAAAACAAATGTCATTTTTTTAAAAAGGCATTTGCCTTTCTCTTTCAGAAAAAGCATGGATTTGATCAGAAACTCATCTTTTTATAAGTATTTGCATTAAAATTCATGTAATTTGAAAAACTTTCTGCCCAATGAATCTGGGTATTGTTGTTGTAGGTTTTTCGGACTGTTTGGCTATATTCTGCCAAAAAAACACCAAAAACCTACAACAACCATCGGATCCCGGATGTGAAAGCCTTTGAGAATAAATCTGGGTATTGTTTAATTAATCAAAATATTCAAATTAATTAAACTAACTAACATGGGATCCCTAAAATATTAAAATATGAAGGATTACCAATCCACCAGTGCGATTATTATTGACATTAAATACTAATATAAGCCATCTTGAACATCACATTACAAATTGGCAATAATAAACAGGAGGGCGAGGTGAGGCTACAGGAACTCATTGAGTCTTATCCCTGGTTTCTCAGAGCCTCATTTGATGACAACTCTAAGAACATTCTGGAAAATGCCGTGAATATTTTTTTGTAAAAAATCTCCCAGTCTGGGGCATGACAGCTCCCAGACACGGACTTGATTTTATTTTTTTTTAATGGTGTAGTGAATTTGCGAGGGCCACCTGTATGTTTTTGAAAAGAAATCAGAAGCAAGATTCTTGGCCTCCAGTGCATTAAGTGGGTTCCCGAACAAATTATTCAGCACCATACATGTTAAACATCCCTAAGACGATCCTCCTAGTATGTGCCTTCTTTGCATTTCTTTGCATTATGGTTGCTTTCAAGTACAAAAAGAAAGCCCATTGCGTGAATTCATATCAAATAGCTACTCTAGATTTTTTTTTATGGGGGTTTGTTGTTTTGTTTTAAAAGAGCAATCTGATTGACAAAATGATACTAAATGTTTGTCCGGGAATAATAAAAAATGATCTAACTATGCTAAAGGATAAATCGATGATGCTTTTTTCTACCCTTTTGATGTATTATATTTTGCAGAGCGTGCTTCTCTACTCCCTCCCCAGCTCATTGCATTTTAAACAGCATATCTTCTGATCCATGTTAGCAGAGAGCCTACCTCATTAGCAATCATATTGCTGAATTTTGCATGAAGGAGGCCAGGAGAGTCTGTCACCGATGTGTACTTGAAGGAATGGGGCTGCTGACGGTATGTACTCTGAATTCACACACAAAGGAAGAGGAATGCAACAACTAAGCCATGTTATAAGATAAGGACACTGTATTTCGAGTGCTACTGGGGACTTAAGTCAAACTTTACAACGGGGGTCAACAAAAGGACAGGTGTATTTTCCTGCCTGCCAAAGTAATCCTCTGCTTCCACATCACTGATGGACAGATACCTTTTTAATGAAACCGGTAAAATAACAACAACAAACTCTTATAAATACAAGCACCACCTGATCATGCCTCTTTTGGAGGATGCTTCTGGAGGATGCTTATGACAATAATATGGCAGAGATGGTCATAGGTAAGCAAAGATAAATTTACGCCTACATGGCTGTCTATAAAAATGCTAAGTGTTGAGGAATGAAAGAGATGCCAACACTTCCTGAGTAATGTGAGAAATATGTTTTAAGTTGTCTGTTGCCTTTCAGTCTTCATAGGCTGAAAGGCAGGCATTTAAATTGTTGTAAGCTGCCCAGAGACCTTTGGGTAGTGTGGGCGGCATATAAGTTAAATAAATAAATGCTCAGGGATTGCATGTAGACTCCTAAATCTTTAGGTGTGTTCTGAATTAGGCTACCAATTCCAAGTGATTCCAAGCAGCTCATTTTCTCCCAGCTGCTGTTAACCATGTAGAAAGAACAATCAGTATCAGAATGAGTCAGGTGTATACCAGAGGCCACTGTGGGCTCCACCACCCTTAAAACAAAGGTGAAAGTGGTCCAAATCCAGAAACCATTCCTGGGTGGTGTCACAACATGGGGGGAGGGGCAGGCCTTTCAAAGAAGAATTGCCATATCTAGAGGCTTCTAAGATCCTCCCTTTCTTTTCTTCTCCTTTGGTAGAAAATTTGTTTTGGGGCAGAACAAATGCCCAGGGTAGGGAGGAGGAGAAGACCGAAGGTGAGAGTCACACGGGTGAGGAGGCCGGGTGGGCATTTGCAGATAGCTGGGGAGGATAAAGTTGGGAGAAGGAGAGGTTGGGGGAGGCAAGAAACTGGGCCAGAAGACACAGAGATGTAAGAACCCAGAACTGGTACCACAGAGTTTGAGGAAGAAGGGACTTGGGGAGATGCAGTGAAAGATCCACAGAGATCTCTGCTGAGGGGGTGTATGACAGGGGTCCTGGTGCAATTTTACCTGCTCCAGGGAAGGGTTCATGACCAGGGTTTTGATCTGGTCCTCTGTCAGCCTACACCACAGTGACCCACAGTTAGAGACCAGAGCAACCCACAGGACACCCAACCCCTACTCCAGTCCAGAAAAAGCACTGAAGGGCCAGCAACAGCACCAGCAGCAACATTCGGAGGGACTGGCCAACCCTACTTGAGGACTGTGGCTTATCTTTATAAATCCTTCTTGGGGAGTGCTGGCTGGAGGGGACCACCACTTGGACTCTTGACCACATTCTGACCGCTGCATGTGTCAGTCCCAGTAGGAGCACAGGACTGTCGGGGCAGGGGGGGGAACGGTGACCTGGAGACTGGAACTGAGCCCCCCCCCCCAGTGGACAAATGGACTGAGAGGAGGTTGTTCTTGCTACTGCCAGGGTTGCACCACCTTCCCAAGAGGCAATAAAACCATGTTTGCATCATCCTGCAAGTCTGGAGCCTATAGATACTATGTCAGGAGAGCTTTAGCCTGCCGCTCCTACAGTGGTATCCTTATTACCATGCTAAGGTCATGATCACCTCCGCAGCCTTTTTGGGTTTTAAAAGTTTACACCATGCTTTATATACAAATGGTATAGACGTATGAATTTTTAAAATGCTATCATAGCGTCTCTTTTGGCATTTATTTTGCCTTATTGCAGATCCATCTTTTTCGTGTGGAGAAAAAAAAGACAGAGAGAGAAGGACGATGGGAAGAAGGAGCAATTCTCTCTTCCATGTAGAGCCACCTGGGTTTTGAGAAATGTGATTCTACGTCTAATAACCGAACACAGACTGACTTTCATCTGGAAAGGAACATTTCCTATTATAAAAGAATCACCCTAATGTACCAGCCACTTGGGTCCTGATTACAGAACAGAAAGTTTGTGAAAGTAGTTAGCAAGGTCTGCGAAACCTTGAACTCCATTCCATTCACCAAGGACGTGAATTGAGTGATCAAATAAAGAGGCAGGATGGGGAAAGAAGCCCACCCTTAATCCAGGGAGTTACTGTACTTTGCCAGCCCAGTTTTAGAGAGACATCTGGCAGAACCTTGTTTGCAGTGGAGAAATCAAAACCCTCTTTTGTTACCTCACTGATGAGTTCAGAAGCTTTCTTCTTTGCTTCAATCTCTAAGGCCCCTGGTATCATACAGCCAACTCCTCTCATAAAGTTCAAATCAGACCGGTATAAATTCTACAGGAAACCAATCAAAATTAATTTACAGCATAGAATATGAAAGGCAGGAGAGTCATCCAAATGAATTTGTTAAGAGCAACATCTGCCAAACAATATTTTGGTATCACTGAACTCAGCTGAAATTGTATTTGCATGTTCACACACAAACAGACACCTCTAAATAAAGAAGAAGAAGAGGAGGGGAAGAGGAGGAGCAAATAGACAACATCAATGAAAATATTCCATAAGATTGGAAATTATCTCCCAAAAATAATTTCAAATGGTAAAACTATTAAAGGCAGTTTTTGCAGGGGTGAAAATTTTGTTTTTGAATACTAAAGAAATATAAATATAAAAGAGGGAAGGTAGACAAACAATCATAAACCATACATGAGCAGCTGAATGTTCAGATTAACGCCTGTAGTGTTTGCCTCATCTCACATACTCCAGCCCATTAAAGGGATGTGCGGAGAACTTACCTCACTCTGCAGTTTATAAGCTTTCTTGGCACATTGTAGCCTAACATCGTCAAAAAGAGAAGTATAGCTGTGAAGCATCTGTCTGTATTTCTGATCGCTGACCAAAGATTGGGCTTTTCTAGCATGGACTAAATTCACCATGTCCAATGGTATGTGGAACTGGCTCTTCTGATTATCAAACTCTTTCTTGTAATTTATCTATGTAGAAAATAGAAAGAACAAATACTACCGATTAAGGTCAAGACTTAAAACACATTTAGGGGAGACAATCTGAGATTTTCTTGAACACGTTAGGCTCAGAATATTTCATTTATGTTTCAAGTGCTTAGTTTAATGTTCACTGGTTTAAGAAAATATAGAATTGGGATGGGCAACATATAACCTGTGTCCATATGCAGCCAGCCAGGGGACATTTTGTGATTGCCCCTACTTGAAAATCTCACACTTCCTTTTCCTCAAAAAACAAAAACAAAAAAACCCCTGCAGGTTACTTCTAATTCTGCATAATCATTGGCCTTTTAAGGGAAATGGATACCTAGGCTGTAAAGCTACTCAGACAAAAAAATCAAACTCTCTTCCTCCATCATGGTTTGTCCCAAGATGTGTCTCCCTACACAGAACCCCAGAAAATGATAGTAATTCCCTGAGCAGCTAGCCCCATGAGAGCTGACATGGTACCTTATAAGGGTCTACTCCAAGAGTCTAAATGATATTTCTTCTTTATTTGTTTCCACTAGAAACTGAAGACATTTCTGCAAAAAAACAGTACTTGATCCACTTTTACATAATCTGATTTACTGACTATAAATATTTCTGGTTTTGTCTTTGCTGCTTTTTTAGCCTACTGTAGATGTTTTGAAAATCTGTTATTTTTACCAATTTAATATATTTTGTAAGCCACTTTCATGGAAGAGGGATTTCAAGGTATAACCTTTTAAAGTAAAAATAATTTCTGCCAGCTGGAAACAGCTGTTTGAATACTACAACAGCTTTACACAATTGGCATTCTTATTAGTGATTAAGGACCTTGATTAATCACTAACAATCACCTGTATGTTCTTGTTTTACTCATTCAGTACACAGTTGAACACAGAATGGCTTCTTCTCCCAATGAAGTGAACAAGGACATCAGTTTGCAAGGGTGTCCACTGGACATCCCATGTCTAACATAAGAATATAAAATCAGGTGATAAGTTTCAACAATTTCTTTAAAAGGGAATCACAAAAATTCATGGAAAGATCACACGGATGATATCAGTAGTCATTGTTTGTGATCATTAAATACAACCTACAGGATCAGAGACAATCTTTCCCCAATTATTAGGGGCTAGGGAACTACTTCAAGAAAGAAGTATTACTTTTATTTTTTCTGCTTTGGGGCTTCTTATATTCATAAATCATGTGAAAGGCTGAACTGGATGAATCCCAAGATTGCCGGAAGAAATATCAACATCCTCCGATATGCAGATAATACCACTCTGATGGCAGAAAGTGAGGAGGAATTAAAGAACCTCTTAATGAGGGTGAAAGAGGAGAGTGCAAAAAACAGTCTGAAGCTTAACATCAAAAAAACAAAGATCATGGCCACTGGTCCCATCACGTCCTGGCAAACAGAAGGGGAAGATATGGAGGCAGTAACAGATTTTACCTTCTTGGGCTCCATGATGCCTGCTTCTTGGGAGGAAAGCAATGACAAACCTAGACAACATCTTAAAAAGCAGAGACATCACCCGCATAGTCAAAGCTATGGTTTTTCCATTAGCGATGTATGGAAGTGAGAGCTGGACTATAAAGAAGGCTGACCGCCAAAGAATTCATGCTTTTGAATTGTGGTGCTGGAGGAAACTCTTGACAGTCCCCTCGACTGCAAGAACAAACCTATCCATTCTGAAGAAAATCAACCCTGAGTGCTCACTGGAAGGACAGATCCTGAAGCTGAGGCTTCAATACTTTTGCCATCTCATACAAAGAGAAATCTCCCTGGAAAAGACCCTGATGTTGGGAAAAAGTGAAGGCAAGAGGAGAATGGGATGACAGAGGACGAGATGGTTGGACAACATCATCGAAGCTACCAACATAAATTTGACCAAACTACGGGAGGCAGTGGAAGACAGGAGGACCAGGCGTGCTCTGGTCCATGGGGTCATGAAGAGTCGGACACGACTTAACGACTAAACAACAATAACAACAAAATTCATAAAAGGAAGCCAAGGAAGAATAACAAAGCTGTATCAAATCAAAGGTCTATTTTGCCCCACATTCTGTTCTGACAAACCAGATACCTGTGGGAAATACACACACAGCATTTGAATACAACAAGGTCCTTTTCTGAGAGTTCCCCCAAGCTGCTTGAAAGGCTACATCTCCCTTTATAAACCTGCCTGGCTTCTAAAAATCATCTCTTGGTCTCACCATCCTCATAAGTGTGTTTGGTGAAGACACTGGAGAAGGCTTTCTCTCTAGCTGCTCTCAAGCTGTCGAACTTCCTCCAATGGGAAATCAAGCTGGCCCCTTCTTTGCTGTCTTTCTACAAGCAGTCAAATATATTTCCCTTAAAGCTAACTGCTGCATAAGAAGAGGTTCTTAAAAATGGGACTGCTGCATTTACATTTTGAAAGTTTTATTTATTTATTTTTTAAAAAGTTTTTAAAACAGGATTTTTGGAACAGAATGGTGGACCTATTACATAGGTCTTTGGAGTTAACCCAGAACACTGAGATGGAAATGTGCAATCAAATTATGTTATGGTCGCAGATTTACTGCAAAAATGCTAATCGTTCAGAGCACCTGGAGTGTTCATTTCTCATGACAAATGAAGCTTATGAGAAATCTGTCAGCATGTGTGGCTCTCTCATGCCTTGTATTACTTACACCACTCTGTAGCAAAGCTGCATGTACTGAGTGAGAAATGTTTATATCTTCCAAGCCACAGCAGCCTATCATCTGGCCTTTCGTTTTCTCAAATGCCTCCTTGTACTTGTACTGAGGAAGAAAATAAAACAAAGAAAAGATATGAGAAGTGTAGGAAAGATACGGTCCGTAATTGCTTTACTTTTCGTTGTCTTCACAGCAAGGAAGTATTTTAAAGGAAGATGTGTGGAAGCCATCAAATAGCCAATTTCACAAAACAGCATTAAAGTAGGTACATTCTGTTAGAAGCAGCTTGTGGGTTTAAGATTTCAAGTTCTATCTACTAAACTACACTTTGTTTTATCACGAGAGAGTTGAATGGGGATCAGAAAGAATAGTAAAATCTGTAGAGTTTAAAGCATATAGAACTTTCTTTGAAAATACAATGCAATGCCACTTTGTGTACAACTTCCTATCACATTATGTTGGCTGTCAAGGCTGGTGGCTATTGTCTTTTGCAGCCCATTACAATGGTCAAATTAAGCTAAAGTAATACATGGGGTACACATGACCTTTAAAACCTACACTAGCATACCTAAAACAGGTTAAACGTTTGTTCATTAGTTATATTTATAAAGAACATCATATGGTTCGTTCACATAATTTGCAGTTTCTAGAGACTATATTTTTCTAGAGACTTTTCCACTTCAACTTTTTAATGTTTCCTTTCTTTCCCTTCTCAGAGTCTAAGTAAATTGTCTCCAGCAGCATTCTTCTGCTCCCATTTTATATGAGACCCTATTGCCATTAGTTCAACTTACATCACTTATAATGTCAGTGGAAGCCTTTGCGGTCTGGAAAGGAATGGCATCCAGTTTCAGTTTATAACCACCGTCTTGCATTTTGCTCCAAGATTCCTTGTAGTGTATCTGTTTGGAAACACAAACAAGACCAATGTGCATTTATTGACATCTGAGGCGCTTTCCCTCACAGTGTGCTTGAACCTACACTTAGAATGAAATTTAAATTACTTCCCTTTGAGGCCAGCACAAGACATTTTGCTGCTGAAGGCAAAGTATCAAATGGCACCACAGCAGTTGAGTGTCAGGGTGCAACTAGACAGTTTGGGTTGGATTGAGCTAAACAGGGTAACTTTGAGGTGTGGTATATCATTTACAGTAAGCCTTGCTGAGGCAGGAAAGCACACATCTCAAGTGAAAGCTATTTAGTTCATTCTTCCAGGAAAGGGGGAAAAAGAAAATAAATCCTTCCTTGTCCCCTCCTGTCTCCCCCTCTATGAAAGAGGAATTAAAATCATCATCATCATCATCATCATCATCATCATCATCATCATCATCATCATCATCATCATCATCATCATCATCATCATCATCATCATTATTATTATTATTAATCCACTACTGTTCTCCATTTATTCATCAGATTGCACCAATAACCATCCCAGTAATAGGATTATCAAATTTGCAGACGATACTACACTAGTAGGACTTATCTCTGGGGATGATGAGTCTGCGTATCGGGACGAGGTATTACAGCTATCCCGCTGGTGCAAAAAAAACAATCTTTTATTTAACATCCAAAAAACCAAGGAATTCATAGTGGACTATAGGAAAAAAAGAGCAGACATTCAGCCACTGTATATAGATGGAGTTTGTGTGGAACAGGTGGTTGAATGTAAGTTTCTTGGGACTATCATAACAAATGACCTGACTTGGAGTGCAAACACCGCTGCGTTAATCAGGAAGGCACAACAACGGTTGTATTTTCTAAGGATTCTTAGAAAGCAACAATTGACTGAGAGTTTGTTAATCACCTTCGCTCGGAGTTCGATTGAGAGCATATTATCCTACTGTCTCTGTGTATGGTTCACGAGCTGCACAGTGGCAGAGAAAAAGGCAATTCAAAGGGAAAACCTATCTATTAAATCTTGACACAGTATGTATGCTATTCCTAATACAGTATTGCAGTTTTTTTGTTGTTCTTATGGTGTGATTTCTGAGATCTGTAACTGCTTGTAGTACTGTTTGAAATTTCTTGATATTGTTTCCAAAGCCCCAATGACTACAAGAACCACTGAAGTGTGTTTCTTCCAGAGGTGAGATGTTTCGATTGCCAGATATCTGTATTTTGTTAGTTTTTCCTATTCTTTATTTTCAACTCTGGCATTCCCTGGAATTGCAATGTCAATGATTTAGACATTTCTTCTTTCTATTTCTACTATGTCCTGTGTGTTGTGTTCAAGGTGTCTATCAGTTTGGATTCGGAAATCCCAGAAGATCTTGACTTCCTCATTTTCTGACACCTTCTCTACCTGATGTTCCCATGGGTTTTTGGAGGCTGGCAAGTTATATTTTTTGCATAATGACCAGCGTACTAACTTTGCCACTCTATTATGTCTAATTCTGTAATCTCTTTGTGCAGTCTTTGGATATTTACAGCTGAGGTGTGACAGAGTTTCAATCTTTTTCTTGGCAGAGTCAACTCTTGCTGCTAGCACTAATTCCTTGAATCTTAGCTTTCATCACATTGGGTTGGAATGCTTCTTTTTGTGCAGGAAAAATCAATCCTTTGGTTTCTTTCTTAAGGGTCCCCAGTTTTAGCCATGCTCATGTTGAATTCTTATGCTTCCCATCAATATTTATCAGGAGTTGTCCATGTAGTGGGCTTTCCATTAATATTTATCAGGAGTTGTCCATGTAGTGGTTTATTTTTGCAGCTGTTTAATTTATTTTCAGTTTATTCTTATATTGAGCCTTTGTTTCTGTTGTTTTCAAAATATTCTAATTTTTTACTGCTTTCAGTAATTTTTCTCTGCTTGTATTGATATAATCATTTAGGCTTCTTTTTTCTTCTACTACCTCCTGTATTTGCAGTAATCCATGGCCTCCGAATTTTTTTGATAAATATAATCTGTCCACAGATGATGATGATGATGATGATGATGATGATGAAGAAGAAGAAGAAGAAGAAGAAGAAGAAGAAGAAGAAGAAGAAGAAGAATACCAAAGATAGTCAATCAAAACTATAAAACACTGAGTGGTATTATAGAACAGATACATTTTAATCTAAAACAAAAGTATCTGTTAAATATCGGCACAATATTGTTATTTTCTGCAGTTCTGATAGAACAGATACATTTTAATCTAAAACATAAGTATCTGTTAAATATCAGCACAATATTGTTATTTTCTGCAGTTCTGATTATGTTATTTTTGAAATCTGCAACTGCTTATAAATCTGTGTGAAATTTCTTGATATTGTTACCAAAGCCCCAATGATGATGGAGACCACTGAAGTGTGTTTCATTCACAGGTGTGATGTTTCGATTGCCTGGTCTCTGTATTTTGTTAGTTTTTCCAATTCTTTATTATCAGCTCTGGCATCTCCTGGAATTGCATGTTATGTCTGGTATGTTATGTTCACAGTGTCTATGAGTTTGGATCCAAGGATCCCAGAGGATCTTCACTTCATTATTTTCTGCCTGATGTTCTCATGAGTATTTTTCACATCCTTTTCTGTTTCCTCCTTTGCAGGGGAGGAGAAGGAAGCTTTCAATTACCTAACAGCTGGTTAGAACCCGAAGCAGCTTAAGCAAAGTGACAGCCAGCCATCTGTTTTGGGTCAGTCCCAGCAATCACACATGCCAGAAATGAATCAAAACAGAGTGATCATACCTATACTCAAAAAAATAGTAGCCCCTGACAGGGACCCCAAAAAGGTGCAGATAGGCATGGATAAGGGGCAGGTTGGTTTACGATTGCCCTTACGTCATGCAGGTTGTTGGGAAAAGGATCAAATTGAAGGACAAACATTGTCTGATTGGACTCTGACTTCGACAAGGGACAGATATCCAAGATAGCAAGTTGGATTAGGTATGGGGGGGGGGTACAGCATGGTCCTAGACCCATATCTTGTCCCTAAAACAACATGAATTATTTTGCTGCCTCCTCAGCCACTTTATATTTTTTTTTATCCTTGACATTTCCTTGTTAAAGAAAAGGTGAATTGTGACTTCTAAAGGCCCCTAGGAATAGTCATTTATCTTTTCAACAGGATCATTGTACCATAGAGCATCCTCATTTTTTTTTCCAAAACCAGAAGTGGACTAGTCACTTCCAGTTTTGTGGGTTTTTGCGTGTGTTGTTGGCATTTTTTTATCATCTCTGCAGGCCAGAGGGGCCTCAGAGACAGGAAACTGGCCCCTGCACCCGCCATAGTTGCCCATCACTGGGAAGCAGAGCTCAATGCCTGGCGCTCACAGTCCAATAGCCCCTTCCTTTTGCCTAATAGGACACCTGGCCTTCATTCTCATTTCCCCAATTGTGGATGGCACCGACTGAGGATGCAACTATTTGGTCAAATACCGCTGAATTTGCTGTAAGTGTAAAACAGATGATTCCATATTTTTAAAGTGACCACACAATGCAGTTCAATTCAGTCTGTCCCTTCTTCTTCCTGACTGAGTTTTTTCTTTTGCCACTGGGGACTTCTAATTTTTTCAAGTTGTAATGATTTGAATGGACTTCTCCCTGTGTGATCAGTTGTACTCTTTGGCAAAAGGATGGTGGGTGACAGTGGCTGGCACTGAGTTATGGAGAACTTTGGAAAACTGTCCCGTTCCCCTAGTGCCATGCAACACTTTAAACACCCCAACCAGCTTTACAATGAATGATCAAAGGAGAGATGGGGATCAGCAGAAGGCAGGATCAAAGGAAGGGTGGCTGTGGCACAGATCAAACCAAAGTGTGCACCAAAACAATCTATTTAAGCACCTAATCGAAACAGAAGTGTAAAATAGGCTGTGAATCAAGTCAAATCAAAGCTAAATCCCTCCAATTCAGCATGTTAGTATAATTACAGCCTTAGTTCAATTACATATCACTTTAAGGTCACAGGCCTCATCTCATACTGCCCTTCACTGCTGATAGAGGGTTGGATCCTGACTAAATCAGCTGAGCTTAACTCTAATTGAAATGATCCAGTGTCACTTCCACTTATTTCAACAACGATTAAATTCAAACTCAACCAAATTAGTCTGCATTAAGTCCAGTGTGTGTAAAGTTAAGAATCAGGGTACAATCCATGGTTTCATGTTCCTGTTTGCAGGAAGCTACATTGAAACCTTCCCCCCCCCCCAGATTTTAAGAGACAGCTTGCCTTTTAGTAGCATCTTTGTTGTTTGCTTCCCTGTCCCCCCCCAAAAAAGAAAGGAACAAGATCCCCTCTTTTTAATATATACCCTAAATACAGTTTCATTTCCTGGAGAATGGAGAAGAAGGCTGCAATTACAAACCAAAAATATGGCAGCCAACACTAGGGGATGCTATATTTTGCATCAATTGTCACCCATTTCATTACAATTTATATAGAAGTGAGAAGAAAATGGCAGGCAGCCACCAAGGACAGAGGTGTTGCTGCTGCTGCTGTCACCAGTTATGAGAGCAGCAAATTAAATGTTTTTAAAAAATGCAAAGCTGATGCTGTGAAATATAACCATCACCAATCTGCACACAGCCTGCTTGCAAATTTTGATGCCACTCTCCATGTCAAGAGCTGAAGTTTGCTGACACTTAACACCCATGGAAACCATCAGGATACTAATTTCATCTACTTTTGTCTCATTTCAACCCTTAACCCTCCCCAGCCCACCCCCTGCACATCCATGGCATCCAGTAAGTGCCTTTGGCAAAGCCAAACATGCCATCCTTAGAAATATATGCTGCCATTACTGCAGCTAAAGGAAGGGACAAAAATACAAACACAGTAGGATCATACTTGAACTACAGTGAAAGCAATCACTGCTTGTGATTTGGCATTAAGCATAAGCAGATCAACAGGATCAATTTCAGGATACATTGTGATTTTAAAAAGTAAAAACTGATCACGGCTATATAAATGAAGATCTTAAGAACCATATGTTTTTGAAGTATTGGAGTTGTAAGATGGGTCCAGAAAGAAAATCTTACCTCACTGATATTCAAAGCATTCTGCTTGGCTTGAAAGATCTCAGGAAGTTCTGCTATTTGGGTGTAGTGATGTTTGATGTTTTCTCCATGCTCCTTATACAATCTCTGCAACATACAAATAAATATTGTACTGCTCAGTTGCTATCTACCTAGTCATGGTGCAGACAGACTGGGGTAGCTCATACTCTGAGCAGAGGGAACACCAATGCCTGAAATGGGAGACTGAGGCATCCCACTACACAGACCACAGATTGCTTCTAATAAAGGGGAAGAAAACCAAGAAGTCAACAATAAAATGAAGAAAATAACTTAAGAACCAGCTGCTTATATATAAACCTACTGAATCACTTCACTTTATAATCTGGATCCTTTCACCATCAGACTACAAGGAATAGGTACCAACAATGTGCCATTTGTAGCACTACTATTTGAAACAGTCTCCCAGCAGAATTATGCCTGACTCTCCCACAGATCACAACTTTCTATTGTCTATGACAATGCTTTAAAACACATTAAGTGAACTGATTGCTCATACAGCAGTCACAAGACTAATCTAATTGATGGGTCAGGAAAACATAACCTCAGAGGAAACCATAATTTCAATTCATGCCCACATCGATAGAAGCAAACTATGATACTGAATGGAATATAAATTTTAAATAATAGACAGAATCTTCGGGGGGGGGATTTAGAGTGTAAGAAAAAACGAAGAAATTGCTGTGGCCAGATGAAGCTAATTAACAGAGTGATGGTTATGCGCCTGCTTGCGTACTGGTTGCGCAATCAGACATGTGACCAGGCTCGAGAGTGCCACCAAGTTAATTGGTTTCATTTAGCAGCCATGATTCCACTTGCTTAAGCACTTGTAAAAAAAAACCAACAGGATTCTGACCATTACATGTAAATCCATATGAGTTAAGATGAAAATTCAGCTACATCTGGATGTGCAGTTCTCATGGGGCTCAGTGGAGGAGGGAAGGTTTCCATTTTAACTAACAGTGGCTTTTGTAAGATTCACCTGATTAAAATACAAGTTTTATGGTTCCTGGGAATGATCTCAGTGACAGGGAATGAGAAAGAGAGCCAGTGCTTCAATCAGGTCGTTCAAAGAGGATACCACTCTTATAATCATAATGTATATACATTATAACTTACATCCACAGCCTGGTTATAACTAATTCTAGCCTGGATCATCTCAGGAGTGTCTTTAATACTGGTAAACTTCAAAGCATATGGATGCTGACGGTACTTCTTCTGTTGAGCAGAAAAAGATCAAAGCTGTGAATTTTGTGCAGCTCTTTCATGCTATTTGAAAGAAAAAAAATCATAGGTTGCTTGAGATTAGAGTGAATTTGTGAACATAATTATTATTCCTCTTCTCTCTGCTTTATATTCTAAGAACCTTCAGATTAATATTTGTTTCCATTTAACAATAATCTTTACCAATGTAACAGTAAAGAATTTCCAGTTAAATTTAAGGAAATTACTTCAAGTGAGTCTTCTGCTTACTAAATACCTAAGGTCCCATGAGTGGAACATCTTTTCCAAATGGTCTGAAACACAAAATAGCATTTTACATTAATTCTTCAAAAACAGGGGAAAAAAAGCATCCAATTGTAGTAGGTAAAACAGCAATGCTTTCATACACTATTTGAAATTTTATATTTGTTTTTTATGATGTAGGCAAGAACTTTTCTCAGCATCAGATCTCAAGACCAGTGATAACAAAACTAACAATAAATTCAGACAGAGGTTCATCTCTTACGAACTGCCCAATATTGTGGTCTCAGTAAAAATGGAAGAATTATACAAGATAAGAATCTCATTTTCCAGAAACTGCCATTCAAATGCTGTTAAAGAAATCCTAGAAATGATGTACCCATGGCACATGCATTAAAAACTGAAGCCAAGGAGGACAATATTTTAAGACAGGTCAATTGAAATGGCATGAAGGAGACACAGATTCTTGTAGTAAGTTCTTTTCTTTTGTCCCATTCTAGTCTAGTCTGGTGAAAGATGTTCTGAAGCACTATGAAGCTGAATGAAATAAATGTGCCCACTATGGTCGGTCAGTAATAACCTCTCTCATCATACCAGTTTTACCTCCCTATCTGTCTTCCATGTGAGCATACAGAAATACAGTTAAGGGAGATCTGATTAACATAATTGTCAGAGGTTGAAACCGTAGGGTCCCAGGTGTTTTCACTGTGGATGACACACATTAATAGTGCTGAGAATCATCAACAAGCTGTATTGTTGTTCTTGGTTGCGGAAAGCAAGAGAAAGGGAGAGTGTGTAAAAAGTAGGGCCTTGATGCCATAAATATATGTTCTATGGCTTTCTTTCAATTCACTTCATTAAAAAAAAACCCAAAGCTAGTGGGGTAGCAATTGAGCATTGTTTGATTGTCATTATTATTCATGATATCATTTGTCACTTACTTTGTTTTTGCAAAGGCTATATGGACTCCCACTGTTTTGTGTTTGGTATCTGACTTCCCTCTAATTACGAGTCCTATTCCTGGTTTTGAGAGCTTTCATGTGGGAAGCCTTTTTCTTTCCACCCCTTTGAGTGGAAATTATTTTAATTTTATACAGACTTTTTACACGCATTATGCGGCAACTTTTGTTACGTGCTGTCACGAAAGCTCACCTCACTAATGAGTTCTCCTGCCTTCTTAGCCTGCTTCACATTTAATGACCCAGTGGCGATCCATCCAACTCCTTTCATCCAGTTCAAATCGGCTCTGTATCGGTTCTGACAAAAGGAAAAGAAAATGCCCCATTGTTGCTGCTCACACATTAAAAATGCCACCTAAAGAATTCACACATCAGAACCCCAGCTGAGCCAAATTAGTGACTGCGTTTGTTTTATCCACCGCTTTGCAGTTGCAGCAGAAATGAGGGTGGGAGGATTTAAGGGAAGGAAGGGTGATAATGCTAACAGCAAACATTTCTGCTATAAGATTTAAAAGAAAATACATTTTAAAAGCCCTTTTTTAAAAAAAAAAAAATCCTCTCTTTTATAGTTTGCTAAATGTCTTCTATCTAAATCAACACTACAGAGACCCTGAATATTAAAAAAAAACAGTGAAGCAGTGTTTTGGAAGATTTCTCAGCACACTTTCTTGGAAGTAAGATCTATTGTGTTCAGTGAGGATTTGGACATTAAAAGGGACGAGTGAATTGGAATGAGTGAATGACTTCTTAATCACTTTCTGCACTCCGGGCATAATATCTGGAGAAAGAAGTCATGCATTTTTCTCTATGGTGTGCATGGATGTATCTGTACAAAAACTATCTGGGACCTATACATTCAGTCATGGGAATGAAGCAGAACACCCCTCTTCAAATGTTACATCAGCACGAAAACGTGCTGTTTTACCTTTGTAACTTGCAAGATTAAATGAGCCATTTTACTCAATCCCAGACTGAATATAACATTTCATAAATAGTTGAGTTAAAGGAAACACAAAACATCAAGCAATTTTCGGCCCCAACCATAGTAAACCCACGGAATGAATGGGTTGTTAAATCAACACATATTTAAGCCCTGTTGGCGCAGTCATATGTACAATTTCTACTCCAGTTGGGCTAACAGCAGATTTAGTCCATTGGTCCCTCAAATTTAAACAAATAATTGCAGGAAAGAACAATTCTTTTGTTTCTATCTTAGTTGAGTTTGACATGTTCTGCTTTTAAAAATGGTTCACATAATAGGCACACTAGTGGGATTTTAAATTCTTTCCCTACTATAGCCATGTTTCAGCTAGTAATAATTTTGGACAAGATCAGTGCAGAAAGTAAGACAGTCTCCAGACACTAAGACTTCCACACATGCTTTTAAAAATTATAGAATGTTATGCTATAGTGTCCCTAGTAAAATGGCTCATCTAATATTGGCAGGGCATATAATTTCTTGTTTAACCATTATATCTATCCAGAGATTCAGCTCCTTGATTTAACCAAACAAAGCTATTCTACATATCAAGATGCCTCCAAGGAAATAGAAAGTATGTCTCTCTAGAAATAATAAAGGTGTGCAGCAATGCAAGTATTCCTTCAAGAACTGGGTTAACATAAACAACACACTAAGAAAGTGCATTAATTCTTCCTAATTTTAAACAATCAAACTTGGAGATCACCTCTGTGGAAACTGCTTCAACGATGCCGGAGGAAATGGGGAAGGGCATTGCTTGGTGAAAAGAAACTTCTGTTTATTTGAAGACAATTCCTAGATTGTCTCAGGCAGCAAGAAGTTATACTAAAAAGTATTTCCCATTTCTGTACAAGGGCAAATGCAATGTATACAGTGCAGAACTTACATCGCTCTGCAAGCCATATGCCCACTTGGCCCATTCTACTTTCATGTCTGTAGGCAAAGCTGTGTAACGATGCATGACTGTCTTGTAGCCCCTATCAGTGGCCAGATCCTGAGCTTTCTTGGCATGGACAAGGTTGATCATATCCATGGATACATGATATTGATTCTTCACATTCTCAAATGTCCTTTTGTACTCCAGATCACTCTGCAGTTTTGACACATGAAGTGAGTGAGCCATCTGGGAGTCTTCATTCACACCTTTCACCCCAATCAGCTGCCCTTTTGTCTTCTCATACTTCTCCTTGTACTTTAGCTGTAAATGGTGGAAACAGATAATTTTAAAAATCTGATAAAAAATATAACTAGTCCAAAGGCAATGGGGAAAACATTGAGGCAAAAAAAGTGCCTATTTGAATAAAGCAGTTCAAAGAGAAAATTTATATATATATACAGTACTTTGTTCCCCGGTAAAACTATTGGGGAGTGGTACAACACATCACATTCTATGTAACAGACTATTGAGAGAACAAAAACATGTTTGTCCCAAAGGCAAAGAAACACAGAGCTATTTATATGACCTAATTTTTAAAGTGCTCATACAAGGATGCAGTTTTTATAGTTGCGGAAAGAGGCCTTTTTCTCATTTCCAACTTTATCACAGGTATGACTTGAAGCTACATCATCATGTTAATATTGTATATCATTAGCAGTACTATACTATGCATTAATAGGGTCTCGCTGAGTTCAGTGGGGTTACTTAGTGTTGCAGCATATCCCAGAATCTAGGAAGAAAGCTGCCACTAAAGATGGTAGCTAAAATCCAGTAGTACAATGCATCCACAGTAGGTCCACTGAAACACGAGGTATTTGGGACGTCAATTCCCCCATGAATTTAATTGATTCAATTGGCCTGCCATCGTTGCGACTTATTACTGGATTTCAGTCTGTGAGATCTAATTCTGGGTAAATTTGCCAGGACTGTTCGTTCCTTTGCCAACCTGCAGTATAATCGTCAATTAGAAATGCAGGAGCTCAGCGGTATAGGCTTCTGTCTGCACATACATTTGTACATTCCAAAGAGCAGCTGAGGAGATCTCCCTCAGGTCTCCACAAAGCAGTAGATCACATATTAGGACCAACATGATTTACTTGGAAGCTTCCCTCAATAAACTCAATAATGACCACTTTAGACTGCATAGTCACAACTTGTAAAACACTTTGAGCTTTCACAAATGTCTTCAGCCTGCAAGAAATTAACTTTTTTACTTCTGCTTAAAAATGCAAAGAAGTATCACCATATAGAATGCTTTTTTTAAAAAAATCATGCATGTCGGACCTAAGTCATGTGAATTACAAGCTATGGCTGTAAGGAATTTGAAAACTAGATATTAAGGCCTTCTTATAAAGATATATAATCAATTTGTTCTGTTTGAATTAATGCTTACATCGCTTGCCAAGTCCCTCTTTGCTTTGGCTGTCAAGAATGGTATTGCATCAAGATGAAGCTCAAATCCTTTCTCTTTCTGCTTCTCCCAGCTACTCTTGTAGATTTTCTGAAAAACATGTCCATCTTAATTACTTTTTATACTGTTCTGTACCATAACCCTGCCACATAGATGAAAAAGAAGAAAGGGTTCCTGTGCCTTTCCTGCTGAAATGTTTCGTCCTCCAACCTAACTATTAAAGATACAGAAATGCTGCCCTCTTTCTCATCTGATCATACTACAACACAGCACAACTGCAAATGTGATCAGACTTCTATTGTTTCAGAAACTCTTTAAATGCATTGCAAGATCTCATTTTTATATCAATCCTTTTGTTGTCTATTGCTCAAATGTGGAAATATGCTGGCTGGGGCACCAATAGTATTGACAAAACCAAAAGTGAAACAAATATAGAAGTACTGCAACATCTTTATAGATAATAAACGTATTGCATTGTGAGTTTTCATGGGTCTATCTGCTTCTTCAGGCACACTTCTGGGGCTAAAGTAATGAAGTTCAATCCATGAAAACTCACAGGGGAACAGACTGGTTAGGTTTAAGGGTGCCATAACACTTTTGATGTTGCTGAAGCAGACCAAAATGGCTATCTCCCTGAAACTCCCAGAAGCCTTCACCAGATGTTATTTGTTTTAACATCAATATTCCAATAGGATCTACAGCAGCTTCCTCCCTCCTTCCTCTTCCAGCTATCATGGCCTAAACCAGTGGTTTTTAACCTTTGTTACTCCCAGAAACCCCAGCTAGCACAGTTGGTGGTGAAGGCTTCTGGGAGTTGCAGTCCAAAACTCCTGAGTAACCCAAGGTTAAGAACCAGTGGCCTAAACAGACTGACTAAGATCTAAGGAGCACTGGAGGACAGAGATACACAGACTTTAAAATCATATCTACACCACATACGTCAACTGTCCCAACAGAAACGCTATTTCACTAAATAATCATAGGAACAGCAATTATCTGGGGGTGAAACTATGTTACAGGTAACACATTATGAGTAAATGGAATTCCTTAAGTACCAAAAGACACATTATTGCCACAGCAGCAGCTTTTCACATCTCCCACAGCCTGCATATTAGGTTGCTTTATTTTGTGATTGGTCATCAGAAGGTAAAGCAAACTTTGCTTGTAAAATATGATTCCCCAGAAACACAGGTTTGTTGGTATCACATTTCTGGAACACTAACATGATTGTAGGTTCCAGTGATACAATACCTATAACAAATAGTTTCATCCTGACAAGGTATATGCTTCTCTAAGTGGATTCCCAGTGCTTTTCTTCTAAAGTTCCCTGGTGTTTGTTTTTTTTAATGGCATATAGAGATTTTTTTTCTTGTAAAACTAGTTTTAAAAAACCCCAAAATAAAACATTGTCAGTTTGTTCAAATTCATTCTTACCTCACTAATGTTTGCTGCATTTATTCTGGCCTGTATGAACAGAGGCTCATCTTTGCTGATGGTGTAACTGTGAAGGAAATCCTCTTTCCCTGATCTGTATGCAATCTGTTCACAAAAGTAGTATTAGCACAGGTCAAAAGGGGGGGGGGATTGGTTTTTTAAAAATATGAATTTTCATAGGCATCTTACATCAATTTAGTACTTTTTGGCTGTTTCTTTAACCTGTAGCAATTGTTTGTTTTAAACATGGGAAAGACATGTTTAGTTTAAGAATAATGGAACAGAAAATAAAAACATAACTGAAAAACATGGTGGATAAAGCGTATGTGAAACGCTTGGATGAATGACCGCATAATTACTTAAGGCTGGAACTCTCACCAGGCAGCACCTCATTAGAATGAGATTATTGCCATTTGCCAGTGAGATTACTGCAAAAGTTAACAGCAGCAAAAAAAAAACAAAAAAAAAAACAAAACTTCCAGGGATAGTAAGGTTTGGTCAATGGCTGCATGTTTTGCTAGTATAAGCAAACATCTAAGATAATAAAGTTACAATGAGTCATGAAAGCACCTGTGTAATGACGTGGGGAATGGTTTCTACAACTGCTTGTGCAAACATGCATCTCAGGAAGAATGAAAACTGTGATAAAAAGCTTTGCTCTAGCAAAATGACATCAGATAGAACTCTTTAATTAGAGCATTAATGACTTTTTGCAGTCAGCTTCTGCCAGATTCACTGTGTTATACGAGGGCAAAACACCAGTGGTTTGAACAAAGGTTGTTTAAATTATTATACTCCTAATAATTTTTCATAAGTAATAGGGAAAGGTTTAAAACTCAGTTATCTAATCCAGGCAGCAACATTTTAAAAACAGGCAGATGAGCTTCACTGAGGAATGAACAACTGCTGAGATCCATGCAGATGTTCCAAAAGATCTAATTTAATCCTTATCCCTTTAGTTATGTGCATGGCCTTTATCACTTTACTTTCTGAAACCTGGTCAGCACGCATCTCGGTACCCTTTGGATTTAAAGGTTTTCTACCTGTGGAAGTACAGGGAGTTCAAACAATATCTTAGAAGTATACCTCAAACCTGTGTAAAGCAATGACAAATGTTCATAGCTGAAGCCTATTGCTTTTCAGTGGTGGTCCCTGTCCCCCAAAATTACCAGTTTTAATGATAAAATATCAGTATGGAGAAAAGGTACTCACATCACTCTGCAGTTCCTGGCTCTTCTTGGCATGTTTGATCTGAGAACTGTCTGCCACACTTGTGAATTTTAGAGCATCTGCCTTCTGTCTGTACTTTTTCTAATTAAAATACCATTTCAAAACAAAAATTTAAAAAGATGAGTCAGTTATCACTACGGCACTCCTCAAAGATTAAAAGTGGAGACATTATGCCTTCCATTTACTATCAGCAATTTACAACCACAATGCAAGCTTTTCGTGTCACCTCTGACTCGGAAATAAAGGCAGGATTGCTAAAACAAACTGGAGGTTGATTACATACAATAGGATCACTATTCTGACATCCAACCTTTTGATCCTCATTAAAAAAAAATAGTTACTGCCAATTTGCTGATTAATTCTGATGCCCCTGATTGATTGATTGATTGATTGATTTTTTAAAAAAACAAAGGACATTTACTACCAGTTTGCTGATCAACGAAGTGCTGATGGATAGTTTTACTCACTTGTTTTGGAAACTAACAAGTTTCTACAGAATGTCTTCCCTATACATATTCTGAAAATGTATTTGGGGAAACAAAGACAGCAAATGGCAACATTCCTCTCCAACATGTAATATGAAGGCCAGATTTAATGATACTTTAACACTGTAGCTAGCAACCATGGGAAAATTCTGCAGTGAAAAATCATCAATGTAAGGGCAACCACCAAAGCATTTTTCATACAGTATTTCCCAGGCTGCTGGTTGTATACCCAGACATATGATGCACAAACTTCTTCTCTTGCAACCCTGCATGGTGCCCCCCTCCAAAAAAACCCAAACAAACAAACAAACAAACAAAACAAAGAAAAAACACCCTGCTCCAGAGAGTTTTCCAGGCTTCCCTAACAGGCTTTTAGGCTGCAGGACAGGAATGGCTTGCCACGTGTAATGGAAATAGTGGGGGCTAAATAGAAATACACATCATTGACTTTGGGGCTAGGTCTTCAAAGTATCAACTAGTCTTAATATCGCAAAGAAATGTACCCACACTGCCAGAGATGTGTCTCAATATTCCCAGGTTATAAAGTAATATGACTCCTCTCCCCTGGTTCCTGCTTTATATGAAGTTCTCAAAACATAAAAAAGCAGCCCTAAGAAGTTCGGAATGTGGATTCTTTTACAATATCTGTGGAAAATGCTCAACACGGCTTAATAGCACAAGCTGATTCTGAACAAGCCCTTCTCTTGAACTCGTTGCTGTCAAAAAAATGGCATAACAACAAGGAAAAAAGGGCATCAGAGTTTTTTTAATGGCAAAATCTGTTGATAAAGAAGAGGCAAACTCTTTTATCTACTTTGCTTGCTACTCTTGGGCTAACAACTCCTCAATCAAACCCAGCAATCAACACTAGGGTATGTATTTGTACACATGCCTCCATGTGAGATTTCTGCAGGGAAAGAGTCTATTTTAGAGTTGAATTGATAGATGAACATAGCTACTCTCACCCTGTGACTTTCTTAGCTAAAGACAAGGCTGAGATATGTTTACTTTTTTACTGAAGTGCATACCACTTCAAAGAGATGCTTCTTATTTTGCACCGAAGATCTAGAGGAGAGGAAGGCATATTTAGGAACATGTTGTTTGTAAAGATTATGTGCAACTCAATATAAAGCCACAACAAGAACAACAAAATGCCAGCTCCTAGCTGGAAGTAAAAGCATCCAAGTCATGTATTAGTTTTCAATGGATATGCCTTTTACATAGTTCAGAAATAAAGAATCAGCTGATCATCACAGTATACCATATTTTTGGCAGTGATTACTTATGTGGCAAAACACAGCAGTAGATGTCATTTTGTCTCTTTGCAAGATTTTAGATCTGAGTGCTGCCGGTTCTTCCTGTCGTTGCTTCAGAACACCAGTGTAGCCAGATGTCAGGATTCTATAGCAGCAGAGTCTAATCACAGACAACTTTAAACAACCTTGACTACCCAGTCATCCTTTTTTTCACATTAGGCATTTTAATAAATGTCTTCTACTCCTTACCCAGCACCCTCCATATTCTAGGCAGGTTTGCATAACATGTGACCTAATAAGCCAATGAAACCCAAGAAAAAGCCTCTGAGGGCCTGAGGAAACCCTTTGATGCCATCTATGGCCTGTTCAGCTTCCATGAAAGTCCAGAGAGCACTGATCATGTTTGAAAATAAAAAAAAATCAAGAAACTGACCTCACTAATGAGTTCTCCTGCTTTCTTGGCTTGCTCAATATTGATACTTCCATCTGCTACCCATCCAACTCCTTTCATCCAGGTAAGATCTGTCTTGTACTGAAGCTGAAAGAGGGAAGAGCATCACATAATAGACAGGGGAAATGTGGCATGTGGGGTGGAAGAGAGAGAAAATTTGTGGTAAAATAGATGTGAATGTGTCACTTAAGGGTGTTACGGGTTGTATTTAACTTTCATCTGAAAGGTTATGGAAGCACTGCCACTAGAAGCAGGAAAGGAAAATATTCCTTCTCTTCATGTGGCCCCCCTGTGCTCCAGGTAGGGGGACAAAAATCCAAGTGGTACTGTGAGCATGGGATACCAACATGCTGGATTTAGGCCCAAGTTTGTCATGAGTGTTGGCATAAGAGAATGACAGGTTGCTGGCCCAGATGAAACCACCCTGGATGCCTTTCTGCCCCCAGAAAAAAACACACACATTATTCACCTTCAAAGTTTTATTTGGAAAAAAGGATGTGATGGGAGATATAAAAGGACCACTGCGCGGATTGGCTGCAGTAGAATAGTATTGGTGCAACATAAAGAGCAGATTCCTGCCTTGGATGACCCACCTGCCATCCAATGTGTCCCATCTCAGCACATTGCTGGTTAACCATGGGAATTGATAACCAAAGTGGATTTGAACACACACACACCCAGAAGCAATTCCACTATGGTGGGTAGTCAACCCTGGCTCCAACTGTGGGGAGCTGTGGCACCCCTTCCAAGCCAGGCATTTGGAAGGGCGGCCACAGTTCCCCACAGTTGCATTTTCCATCAAACAGTGCATTTTCCATCATATGAAAAAAGTATCCCTTGCCTGGGATAGGGCTGACTGCCTGTCTCCCTCACCAAAGATCTGCTCCTCTGCATCAAATTGGCCTTCCTGGTCTTACTAACAGAGCAGTGACAGAGAAATTACATGCACAAATGACAAACCTTGGAAATCATCCCTCCCCAAAAACTGCAAACAAATCCATGTGTTTTTAGTATTGATTTTATTTACTGTTTTAAATATACTACTTGTTTAATTCTCTTAAAATATTTCTATACTTGGTGTCTACAGCTATTAAATATTATCTTTGTAAACTGCCTTGGGTCCTTTTAAGGAGAAAGTCTGGGGAAAATACTTTAAATTAATAAATAAACAAACACTGGGAGAGTGGCTGGGTGAAGTCCACGTGAAGACTGCCAGAAAAGAGCCCAAAATTCCTCTTATATCTCAGGCAGGTAGATGAGACTGGAAATCCTGTCAGTCAGGAACATCAGGCTGGGAATAACCCTTCCAAGTGCTGCTTGGCCAGTCAGCATCATGCACTCTGCAACTGTCTCCCCAACCTCAAACACGCCCAGGAAGCGGACCCAAGATGGTGAGTGGCTCCTTCTCACCATCCCACACTTGTTGAGCTGCAAACCAGGTCCATTTTACTGTGTGACCTAGAGTATTACATATACCTAGCATTCTTTTCTGCAAGCAACAATAGCAGTACTAGAGCCCTTTCAAAAAAGTTTTTTCCTACAATATCTTTTCTCTTAAAGTTAATAAAATTTATTTTGACTTAAGCACTAAGTTCTCCATATACCAAGGCTTTATGCATACATGCTGAACTGTCAACATATCTGAATTTATGCATGTTATGTATGGATTGACAGCAATGTAACAATAATAAAAAGGCATGGCACTCAGAAATAATAACCAACAGAGTCCGCTAACACCACTGCTAGCTTCAGAAAATGCAGAACCATACCTCACTCTGTAGCCCATAGGCCTTTTTAGCCCACTGTGTCTTTAGGTCTTCTGGAACCGCAGTATACACATGGATTTTCTTTCTGTAGTCAAGATCACTAGCCAGTGCCTGGGCTTTTTTAGCATGTTCCAAGGTTATCATATCCATAGGTAAATGAAAATGAGTTTTATTCTTCTCAAAGTCCTTTTTATATGTAATCTAGATAAAATTTAAACAGTACATTTTCCATCATATGAAAAAGTATGAGTGACGGCAACAACTGTACATTAATAACTACCTCTAATATGTATCCACCACAGACAGATTTTTCAAATAATTTAACTTTCTGGCAACACCGAAACAACAATAGCAACATGTTCTCAAGTCTTATGGTCAACCTTTGCAGGGTTTTTCCAAGTACAGAGTACCTAAAAGTAGTTTACCATTCCCTTTTTCTGAGGGTGCTCTGGGACCATGGAGCTTACCCAAGGCCACAGAAGCTGGCATGTCTCCTAACAAGGCACAAACTCCTAACCAAGAGCTCCAGCTTATTAAGCAATCCAACCAGCTGCTGGTAGTGTAAAGGTGGGTAAAGTGATGGCCAAGTACAGTATATGATTCTCACACTTCCCCTCTCAAAGTTACCTGGCAGAAAAATTGTGTATTGCTATTTCTAAAAGTCTCCAGGAAGAGCTATTCCTTTTAAAAGGGTTGCAGCGCCTTCTATATTGTTAAACATAATGACCCCCCTTTTTCAGATATGGAAGTGGATATCTAGCCACCTTCATTCTTTTTAGAAGTATCTTTGGTTGTCCATGTAGACACCCCACCCCCACCCCAGGAGGATCTCAGAGGAGTAGAAAATTGCTTTGGACAGACATATACATTGCAAAGTAATTGTGAGATGATTTACCTCACTACTCATTTTAGCTACTTGAAGAGAGTGCATTAGTCTTGAGTCTTTGTTTGCCATTGCCTTCCCTTTTGTTTTCTCATATTCTTCTTTGTATTTAATCTGTAAATAAGTATCCAAAAGAAAGAGAACACAGTTACAGCATGAATACATTACTACAGTAGCCAATATTTCACATATAAAAATGTTCTTTATATCAGCGGTCCCCAATATTTTTGGAACCATGGACTGGGGGGGGCTCCATGCATGGGGGATATGGGGGCACCCCCACACTCATGGGTGGGCATGTTGCCCTCATGTGCATTTGTGCATGACACGCCCCCTGCAAGCGCAACACACACACAAACGCGACACCGTGCAGGTGGGTGGGGGGTGGAGATCTGTCTCCATGGCCCAGACCTGGGAAGCCCATGGACCAGCACCGGGCCACGGACCAGGGGTTGGGGACCCCTGCTTTATTTGATTTAGACTAGGTAAATTTTTTAGTAGTATATAACAGGGCTGAATGATTTCATTATAGAAATGACTTGGTCATTACTTTCATCTTAATTATTTAAAATATTTTTGCCCCACCTTTCTTCCTTAAAAGGACGCAAGGCAGCTTATATAATTAAGAACACAAATTAAAAACAAAAGACAGTAAGTATAAAAAAATATTAGAAAAGAATTGAACAAGTCTTATATTGAAAATAAATAAATAAAATTAATACCAAAAAAATTAAAACAACAGAGCACAACAACCCCTCTCAGACCTCCAGTATATGAAGGAACAGCCTGCCTGAAGAGGAAGGTCTTTGTATGGGAATGCGTATGCTTTCTTTTAATCCTTACTGGCAAATGAGGAAAAAAAAATTCTTGAAGGTTTTCTGCTCAGGAGTCCACAGTTTTTCAGATTATTAGTCTGAAAAATATTGTGTTCATAAACTTACTGCAAAGGAAAATAAATTAATCTGCTATGGACGAAATAAAATTAAAGTAAATGGCAGGAAAATAAAATGCAGAATTGCCTGATTTTAAAAGGCATCATTATATCTGAAATGGATGGAAAAGCACAAGCATAGCCCCTTTAAATTTGGTCTATTTTAGTTCACATAGTAATTTTTTTTTAGTGTAGAAAGCATTTCTACTTTCATTTACAGATATTAGTCATAAATAGAAAATACTGGAGTATCTCTCCCATAGTTTATCACAGTTCCTGACAGATACTGTACATTTTAAATGAAACCTGCAATTTAAAAAAAAAACCCCAAGGCAGCATGTTTTCATTTCTTGATATCATTGTTGACTTCTTTTAGTAGTATGTCCTAGATAAATAAGTATAACCTACATCACTGGCAAGATCCCTTGAAGCTTTGGCGGCAAGCAAAGACATGGAATCCAACTTCATTTCAAAGCCGCGGCCCTTGCTTTTCTGCCAGCCTTCTTTGTACTTAATCTGGAGAGGGGGGGATACAGTAACATGTCAACACTGTGCATAGAGATAAGCAAGAAAATTTACTTTGCTCAGCAAATTATAAAATCTGAAAGTGTAGTATACATGCCCTTTCCTTCTAAAGAAAATATGCATATTTGGGTATGTTATCCTATTTAATCCACTGAATAGAGGCTTGTTTCACTCAAAGTCTGGCAACAAAGAACCAGAAAACAGGAAGTGATTTCCAAAGCATTTACAATAACAGGATGTTAAAGATTTAGTAACAGGACACACACACACCCTATAGAGTATTTTCCAATGAAAGTGGAAAATATTTTCCAAGAAGGGTGCTTCATAAAATATAGGGGATATTTTTGATTAAAAGAGAGCACTTACGTTGAAGGGGAAAACAAACTGAAAGGGAAGTATCTAACTGACATTTGAAAAAAGCAAATCATTAAGTGATGATTGCCTTAAACCTTTCATCCTGTGAATTCCATGAAGAATGCAGGATGTCACAGGTCTTTATTTGGTTAATAGATCTAAATGACTCAAAGTATATCCTTTGAGCAAACTGAACATTTTGTATATCCAATGGAATTTTCATTGGAGCGTAGTTTCTTAATCTAAATGAAAACCTACAGAAATCTATGGCATATCTGAACCTACTCCTAAAGCAGGCCTGCAGGAGAAAGGAAATCTCTACTGATTTCTGGTCTTTATTGTTCACATTTTACTAACAAAGCTGGCAAATGCATATATACTTCAAAGCAAATCCTGGTATGTTCAATGGGCCATACTTCTGCTTTTAAAATACAAATATACATTTTACGCCATTTTTCTTACCTCACTATATAATTCTGCATTGGCTTTGGCCTTCAGTAACAGTGGTACATCCTGAGGCAAAGTATAATGTGTTTTGGTTTTCTCATATTGTGCTCGGTAGTTCAGCTGTGGGGAAAAAAGAATATGTTTAATATGACAATGAAACAATGCTTAAATGCAAGAGGTTTGATAATTACTGAGAATTTTAATCTGAAGCCACAGGACTATGATTGAGAATCACAGAGGCGGAGAGTGTCTGCATGAAATCCTAATCGCCATTAAAGAAATATGAAATATGTAAGTGTAAAATATAATGAACAAATTTAGGTTCCATATTTTATGCAATATACTTTACATAAACAAATATTGTAGTGTGATATCAGGTGGCTTTCAAGCAGAAATCAGGACAGTAGAGTGTAGTAATTCTGCATATTTCCAAAGATAGTTTCGGAAATACAACAAACACTTACAAAAGTTCTTATCCTTGATTAAAATGAATGGCATGAAAAACTGAGATACCCCAATTTAAAAAAATGGTCAATCTGTGAGATTTTTTGCTTTTATGCAAGAACAAAGATCACTGCTTTTTTCATCAATGGAAACATTAGCAAAAACAAAGAACAAAAATACTCAATCTTCCTGTCTTCATTTTTCTGCACAACCCGTGCATTTTACATTTAAATCCTTATATTTTGTCCAAAATACATACTGCACAAAACAGGTGTTTGCCATGCACATACACAGAATTCTACAACTTCTTCCCCCAAAACACCAGTGTGTGAAAAATACACAACTATTAGATTCTCATCCAGCAGAGAGAACATTTTTGAAGTTTTATTTCACAAGTCCAAGAACAAAATAAGCAAACGCTGGTATCCCAAGGTTAGAAGAAATGAACAATGTCCAAGCCATCAATTGTTTGATTAAATCAGATTAGTTTCATTGCCTGAGGGACACAACTAAAAATTCCAGGATATAGCCAAAAGAAATAGATCACAAAATTCAGCCTTTCCTGCATATCCTGCTTATTTGATCCGGATAGTACCACTTCAGACTGTATGTAATAGCAAGCATTGCATATGTGCCCTCATGGCAGAAAAGGAAAAACTCCACTAGTTATGGAGAATGCCTGCACCCTTGCTTTTTACTCAAAATGGTTTCTATATGCAGGGATTTTCATTCTCATCCTGCATGGAGAAATATTCAGTTACGTGAGCCTTCACCTGCAGTCTTAAGTGGTACATGTCAGACATGCATCTATTATCTCAGGCTAAACAATGTCTCAGTGCTAATGTGGACTTAACACCATCCAATACTTGCACAACCTGAAGGTACTACAATCTTTGTCAAAACAATCAGATACAGCAAGAAGAAACTTGCTGGCAAAGGTGACCAGTTATGTAATTAAGTGAAGTGGATGAATGTTTACCGCTCCAGATTTGAGGTGGAATGTATGGATTTTCAGTGATTATATCTGTGCTACATCCAAACACATAATTTTCAATTTTTCTCCACAATATCATACTATCTGAATTTCTATCCATATTATGAAAATGAGGAAAAAATATCCACCCATACCTATGAAAGCTTGAGGTTGGGCTTAACCAGAATGGGGCACAGAAAACAAAAGGGTAGGAATGCCTTTATCACCACTGTTACCTCAATCCATGTACAGTGGTGCCTCGCTTGACGAAAATAATCCGTTCCAGCAAAATTGCTGTAGAACGAAATCCTCATCAAGCGAAAATAAAAAACCATTGAAATACATTGAAAACTGGTTCAATGCATTCCAATGGGCTAAATACCTAATTGTACAGCGAAGATCCTCTATAGGGCGGCCATTTTCCAGTGCCTGTAAAGCGAAAAATGCCTCCTAAAAACAGCGGGTAGCCATTTTGCACAGTGGCTGGCCATTTTGAAACCCGACAGTCAGCTGTTTTCAGATCGTCGTAATGCGAAGAATCGGTTCCCGAAGCAGGGAACTGATCATCATAAAGTGATTTTTGGCCATTGAAACATTGTTTTATGATCGCAAAAACCTTACTGTTAAGCGGATTCGTCATTTAACAAGATAATTGATAAGCCAGGCACCACTGTATTGGACCTTTTTCTCTGGGTCTAATGACAGCTGGTTGAATTGTGGGAATTGTCCAAAATTAAATCAAATCAAATCAATCAGTCAATCAACTTTCCGAGTTTTGCCTAGTACACTCAACTTACCAGCAGGCGAGAGTCAGGTGATCAGAGGTGGCTTGTGTTTTTCCATGTCAGAAACTGGAAGATTGGCAAGTTTTTCCATGTTGGAAGGCGGAAGATTAGCAAGCCTATAGGCAGCTTTAGGGGTTGGCAGTGGACCCCTGCTGGGTAGGTGTCCAATTATGTCAACCTCTTATGCTTGCAAACCACCACCCGAAGTGCAGGATACCTGTTCAACTGTGCAAATATTTTCATGCTGCGGTAAGACTTTTGAACAACAGAAACAGGACTTACATTACTAAGCTGCTGGGCGTTGATTTTTGCTTGAATGATCTGAGGTGTGCTGATGATGGGGCTGTATTTCAGCTTGTCTATACTTTGTTTATAGTTTACCTATATTAAAAACAAACACACACTCATCACAATCACCACATCAGGTTAGTAAAAGCTTAGACATGCAGCTTTTATTAAGATTGCAAATTATGTGCCTATCTAGAACAATTACAACAGTTAACTAAAGTTAGAAACTTTATAGCTTTTTACTACAGTTTAGTTGTATTGGTCAAGGTATTTATATAAAATTAACAAGTTTTATCTATCCTTCTGTCTCTTGCTAAACTTTTTCTTGCAAGAATTTTTAATAGAGTCATTAGCCTTGTCAGCAGTTACATTGTTTCAAATTGTTTTCTTGCAAGAATTTTAATAGAGTCATTAGCCTTGTCAGCAGTTACATTGTTTCAAATTGTAAGAAACATAACCAAAAATCAATATGCAGAAAAAGTTAGATATGCAGAGTGTCAGAGAAATCTCAGCAAAGCAAAAGTGTACTAAATTGTTAGCATACAATGGCAGAAGCAACAGTCCTGATCTATATGAATGAATATTCACATCATTCAAGATAACAGTCTCCATTCTGCACATTTTTCAATATAACAGGAGCTTCTAAGCTTATGACTTGCAAAGACCTCCATGTCAACTCTGCAGGATACAATTATTATTGTTGGCAGTCCTTAATTAATATTCACCCTAGCTAATTACCTCCTTACTGAATTGCAAAATGTATACCACTTAAAGGTAGCTCATTTAGAGAGTTATGGTTTTCAGGGAAAGAGACTATAGCAGCCAAATGATAATAAAAGCTACAGAATCTGAGGGAGGAGGGAGAAAATACCAGTATAAGTGAAACTGTTAATCAACTGTGTTTGTTCTCATAACCAGTCCCTGCTCTAGCAGATGATCTGGTAAGCACTTGCTGATGTGTTGGCTTGCTTGTTTGGTTGTTTTTTGTTTTGTTTTGTTTAGTTTTAGCAAAATTGCAGAGGCAATTTCAAATAAGTTGAGACAAACAACATACTGAAGTCAGTCATAGCTTAGAAATAAATGATCAGTGCTCTGGATCCCAGAGCATCATTTTGCCTGCAATCAAGTATGGATAGCTTCAGCATGTGGTTACATTCATGGTGTCTAAAATAGATTTTCTAGGCTCTGTGGGCAGCCAAACTTTTTTTCTGGGATTTGGCTAGAGCCTGTGACTTACAGCCCTTAGCAGAATACATCTGTGTGGAAAAGGAAACATCAAGAAATTTTATTTTATCCTCTCTCAGTGCAAAAGGCTGAATATTCTGTCTTCTACAGATGCTCTCATTCTGCTTTATGTTATGCTCCATTACTATATGCTAAAACTACCAGATTTGTGATGTTTTTATCATTCCACTTTGAACAAAGTTGGCACTTAAATTTGTTGAACATTCCTTCCCCTGAGAAATTCTGGAAACTAGTTCTGAATTCTCCACAGTTTCACCAAAATACAGCTCCTGAAATTCCAGTCCAAGCATATGACTGGAAAGACATAAAATGCAACAGCTTTTGTGAAATTAAACCACCGACTCTATGAAGTCTGATCAGGCCAATGCCTGGATGTCCATCTGGAAACAGTCTGCTATCTTGAATTTCATTATGGAACAAGGTGAACTATAAAAATAAGTTCTTCAGTGTAATTACAGCAGGACAAAACCAATATAGCTTCTGTTTTGTAAATATGCCCTTACAAGACAGCTGAAGTAATGATTTTTGGATAACAACCAAAGGACTGACACTAACACATCTAAATAAGAGTCGGTTCTATTTCTCATTTCCAGTCCCCTAAGAATTCATGAGCCTACCAGCTGGAAAACAACTTATTTTTTTCCCTTTGAGTCCCTTGCTGTCATCAACCATGTTTGTCACTGTAATTAAATGACTGCATTCTATGGGGCATGAATCACGCTCCTTCCTACAGGGGATGAACCATGCAAGCAAAAGAGTGAGAGAATTCAGAAGGCTATTTACATCTTTCAAAGGGACTAGCTTCCTTGTTGTTTCATATGAAGGAGTAAGGGTAGCTGGATAATTGTAGTCAACATCATCATGTTTGTAATCAGATTTATAGGCTATCTGAAACATAAGGAGAACAAAAAGATTCAAATTTCTTAAGCTGTCATTTGTTTTGAAAAATTATCATACAAGAGAAAAAGGAAAAACAGTAATATTAATATTAAATACAACCAACAAAGTAAGTTCAGTATTGTCAATGCCAAGGAGAAAGAAATTATTTGCATAGTTTAACTGCTAATTGATTCTTTTTCAGCAGTACAATTAATCTACTGCCAACTGTAGAAGCATTAACTTCCACCTGTGACACATCCCTTTTATCTTTCTGCTTAGCTTCTGAGTTTTTTATAGATCTGTAAATAATGCACTTCAACATATAATATGTAATAAAATGGCATCTCAATAAACCCAATAAAAATTAAATTATCTTTTAGTTTTTCTTCAACTGCTACATTGTAGAATACGGCTGGGGCCTCAGCTCTAAGAAAGACAAACTCTCACTACACATTAAAAACTAAACTTAATTTTCTAAATACCCAGTACCTGTTAACAAAATAATTAAATGACTATGTCCACACAAGTGTAGTACTACTATCTGATGCAAAATGTTTCCACACTATTACTTCAATGACCCAGCAACCTGATGCTGGCAGGCTGCCCATTCATACAACGTTCACTGTCGGCATGTTTGCTTCTGTGTAACTCTCAATGATTTCCCAAATTCATTTTATTTTAAACATTAAGCCTTGACTCCATACAGAAATAATTAAAAAGGCTATGGGTGTTTTTCATTTGATGCGCCAGACAAGAGACACCATATGAACAAAGTATATGGTCAAAGCATTTACAACAATCTGAATTCAAACAGCTTACATTGCTTGCCAAACTTCCAACCTTCATGGCATGCAGCGTGCGCCTGTCCATGCCAACTCCTTCATAATGACCTTTCTGGCTCTGGTAATGTTCTCTGTATTTGAGCTGCACACAAAAATACACCCCCTCTCAGTCACAGAAGCTTTGTTTTTACATGTTGCAGCAAAGAGGACAAGATATAAAAGGGAAGTCTATAGCACAATAGAACTACAAGGACTGCATGTATATTCCTGTTTGAAAATAATAGATATGCCCCTCCATTTTATTTAAGTCAGACACTAGCAAAGTTGATGCTCGTTCGATTTATGGACAAAAGAACATATTTTAGAAAGCAGTTTAACATTTCTGTTCTACAAGGTGGTATATGAACAGTAATCACGGCTGACTGTTTATGCTTTTTGAGAATTATTTCAGCTCTTCCACACCCATGCATTTCAATTTTTCATTTCAAGTATTGATTCTAATGGGACTTTGGTTATTATGAAAAATATTCCACAAAGAGCAATGTAGCTATTGTGACACCTTCTGTTCACAAAGACCAGGGTGCGTGAATTAAATAGCAGAATTATAATCCATTCAGTAACAAAATAATATTCTTACACCTGCAGTTGTAAGAGGTAATTTTGGCCTACATCCTACAACCTATTAATAGAAAAGGTCATTATGGAACAAGAAATATAAGAGATAAAGTAAATGAGAGATGAGACAATTAACACTAGCAATTAACAGGCATTGTTTGATTGGATTAGCAACAAACTGTATGTAATCTCCTTCTATTGCAAAGATTTTTTTATTCAAATTCCTAGTGCTGCTTTTATTCAAGCTTCCTGCTCTTATCTGGAATTCACATATGTAAAAACTGTGATTCCAGCAGTGACTATGCTAAGCTTTTACAGAACTGCATGTGAGCCACTGCGGACTTACATCACTGGTGTATTTTGAGATCTTGCTAACGTTCCTGAATTGTGGGGTCTCACAGTAGTTAATGCTATGGCCTTTGCTGTTCTCCAGATCCTTCTTATATTCCACCTTCAAAACAAGAATTTACAAGAGTGAAAAGTGAAAATTATCCATTAGCTCCAGAAATACAAGTCATATTGTTCATTATACAGTTGAATATTGCTGTGCAGTAAAGCGAAGGAAAAAAGCAAAAGTTGTGCATAGATTTAAGAGTAAGCTAGAATTGCAGAGAAGACTAGCTTAATATTTTAAGATTTATTTTTACTTTGCAAGGATGTGTCCCGTCTGTTTTCCTATAAAGGAAATCTAAAGCAATGAAACAAAAAACAAAACAAAAAACCAGACTAGATCAGCAATATTTACAGCAATCTTAAAAATAAACACAAATAAAACTCTGGTTCATTAGGACAGTGACAAATTAGCAGTCTAACTATTGGTATAAGAAGAAGCACTTTCTTCAGGATTTATTTCTGGATTATTCACTCCAACTAACAGGAAGATCCAAGCAGTGGTAATAGGCAAGCACCCTGCTACTGCTGAATGACACATCACTGATGAACAATAACACAGAATTCCTGGAAAAGCAATTTTGGCTTTCCATTATGCCTCAATGTGGCTAATAGGGGTCCAATTCAGACTCAGTCAAGCTGAGAAAGAACCTAGTGAAATTCATTGGACATATATTCTTCATGCCAAACCTGTCTCCCTGATTTCAATCGGAGTTCTGTATATGCAAATGTGTGGATCCAACACTCTGTTGCTCAGCATGCAAGCAACCTGAAATCTCCTATGCATATCCTTCATGCAGTGATGAAATTTATTCATTCCCACTCCCAGTTAGGCTATTGAAAATCATGGGATTTTATCCTATAGTTGTTGTAATGTTGTACTCCCTTGACTTGAAACAATCCCTATTGAATTCAACAGAACACATGTTGTAATGTTGGAGTAACAGAAGTACAAGACTGTACCGAGATTTACTAATTTTTGTAAGATTTGCACCTACCTTTATGTGATACATTACTATCATAAATTTGATTAAAGTTCTACTCCAACCAATGTATAATTGTATATTCTTTTTTGCATTGCTAAAGTTTATTCTGTACAGAACACAAGAAGGGGTTGGTACTTGTTCTTAATATATACTAGAAACAAAGTGCTGTGCCCTGTGATAATCAAAAGAGCAAAATGCAAATAATAGTTTCCAGTATTACTCACTCCCTTGTCTCTCAGAATAACTCTTTATTTTCTTACCTCGCTGTATAGCTTGTTCACATTCTGGGCTTGTTTAAGAGCAAGGTTTTCTTGGGCTGAAAGAGAATGATAGTGGGCAGCCCCTTTCATCTGTGAAAAGTCCTTCTTGTATTTTATCTAAGAAGAAAAGGAAAAGATCAAAGCCTAGTGGAACAGCTATTAAGTAACCATCTTTCAGTTTACTGGACTTCCTTGTCAAAAGTCAATACAGCAATCAGTGCATAATTAATTTCTTCAGTGGAGACTAATGGCCAGGGCTGTAAGTTCAGCTGAAATTTAGCATGGAGTGGGGTGAATGCAGCTGTTACTTGGAGAATCTGATGAAGAATTAGCCATTCTGATGCGTGCTTGAGGAGTTCATTGCCTTTGTATATGCTCTGCTTGTCTATTAAATAACTAGAGATTACAAATACATCATTAGCCCCTTGTGTAATGCTCTCCTCTCAGTAACAAGGAAATCCTGTAAATCTGGAATTTCCTACTACAGTGCTACAGAGCTACCATTTGTATAACAACATTTCACTGTTAAAATAGCTGAATCTAATAATTTAAGAATAAAATAGCTGATGTTGTGAGTGTTCAAAGCACTGGAGGAGGACCATTACTTGAAACCATGTTTGCATATTAGCTGATCTGCCAGAACATTTTCAAAAGAATAAAATTCTATTAAAAATTGTAAGTAGCAGAGTTTAATAACAAGTTACAGGCAACCAAAAACATAATAGTTATCTGTCACTTATTATTTCACTCTCCAACTCAAGGGTTAGTGAACATTCAGCCATATTCTGTTTCAACAGGTATCCTTCTTTCGTAGAATCATAGAATAATGAAGTTGGAAGGGGTTTATAAGGCCATCGACTCCAACCCCCTACTCAATGCAGGAATATAATTCAAGCATATCTGCCAGGAGATTGTCTAAATTTCTCTTGAATGCCTCTCGTGCACTCATCGCCTCTCAAGGTAATTGGTTCCATTGCCATACTGCTCTAACAGCTGGGAAGTTTAGCCAAAATCTGGCCTCCTATAATTTGAGCCCATGATTGCAAGTCCTGCACTGTGGGTTGATCAAGTTCAGTGAAGAGTTGCTTTCTGACAGTTCTCTGAATTTTAAAAGTGATTTAGAGGCACTGAATAAGAGCCATTGCTTAAAAGTCCTCCTGCAAAAATAACTGGTTCTAGGGTTTTGATGTTATGGAAATGATGATTGTTCACCATGTTTTGGTTCTTTTTATTTTATAATCTCCGTTGCTAATCCCAACCCCTGACAAAGTAAACAAATACCAGTGCTTCCATGTTGGAGATCTGTTAAAACAGCATTCTCAGTCAAGGACTGAAGCAGTTATATATCTGGCGTCAGTGGATGTGTCAAGGACAGTTCAGAATCTTAAAACAGTCTTGTTCTTTTTATAGGGTCTTCTTAGTTGTCCCAATCATATGACACTGGAGAGCATTTTACATCTAAGCAACCATGCTGGCTGAGACCTCTTGTTTCATACTTACATCACTAGCCAGGTCATTTGCTTTCTTAGCATTTAGATATGCTGGTGTGATCATGGCAGGAAAACTTCCTTTCCCTCTATGCTCCTCATATTCATCCATATAATCCTGGGGAAAGTTCATTGATGATTATTTACTTATTTGTGTGTTATTTCATTTTAATTAATTTATGTATTTTAAATTAATAATGACAATTAACTAATAAATTTATTTTTATGTGTCTCCTTGTCATTTGCAATTTGTTATGAACAGCTCATATCTAAAAGTTCCCATTATGTTTACATAGATGACGAAAAAAAACACAACCCTGTATTTTTCTCCTCATTTTTCATCCACTATCAATTTTTGTTGTGCCATAATAAGATCAGTTGGATTGGTCAGTTTTTCAGTATTTCTATTAAACAGCAAACCCACAGCTAGTACAATATGGCAAATGATAGCATGAGATGTCTGTATATTGTCTAACGCTGTCTTGTATAGGTAAAGATAAAGGTTCCCCTTGACTCTAGGGCGCGGTGCTCATCCCTGTCTCCAAGCCAGAGAGCCAGCATTTGTCCGTAGTCAGTTTCCGTGGTCACGTGGCCAGCGTGACTATATACAGAATGCCATTACCTTCCCACCGTGGTGGTACCTATTTATCTAATTGCATTTACATGCTTTCGAACTGCTAGGTTGGCAGGAGCTGGGACAAGCGATGGGAGCTCACTCCATTCCGTGGATTCGATCTTACGACTGCTTGGTCATCTGACCTTGCAGCACAGAGGCTTCTGTGGTTTAACCTGCAGTGCCACCATGTCCCCGCTGTCTTTTATACCAACCACCAAACAACAATGAACACAAGAGTAACATTAAATGGAAATTATTCACACTCTTGTTAAGCTTACACTGAAATTCTTCTTTAATTTTACGGTAGGCAGGGAAATAATGTCTGGGAAATGACAAAGTATCACCATTTATAATGTAACGGAGAATATCCAACAGAATCTTAGCAAAAATAAAATATTTCATCTATAGGCATACTTGGTGCTTCCCTCTAATCCAAGCATGGGCACTTCATGAAGGTTCAAGGGCCATGGTTTCACTCCAGCAACCAGTATTTGACACCAACATGGCAAAAAAATGATTTTAAAAATTCAACAGCCATTCCAGTTTGGAATGAGGACCGAAGACCCCTTCCAACTGACTTGGAAAGGCACTTCTTTCCTTCTTGGTACTGAATGGCACAGGGGGTTCTGTGGGGGCATGAGGAACCCCAGCAAAGGCCTTTAGAGCTTTGAGGACTCCATTTTACCCACCCTTCCCACATCTTTCCAGAGAACCTTGCAACAACAGTCAAGAGAGGGAATATGGAGCTTGGGGTTGGGGAAGAGACAGGGCGAGTTGCTCCTCAGGAGAAATTCCACTGTTAAGCAGTAAGATCCAGCTGTTAATTTTAGAAACAATACAAACAACAACAAATTTATTGCTTCTTACCTGATGAAAGTGATCTATGTTTTCCTTTGAGACACCAACAGAATGACTCGCTTTTCCCTTCATCTCTTTTTCATACCTTTGATGATACCTAACCTGAAATAAGACCAGGTCCTCAGGTTTCCTTTAATTCTGCTTGAATTTACACCCTCTGGTGGTTGAATTTATACCCTCTGGTGGTGATGTGCAGATGCATCCCCCCCACTCCATACCCAATCCCACAATATACGCGTATCACCCTTTAATTTCACTGAGTGTTCTTAGCCAAATTCAGGAGTTTCAAGGAAAATGCAAGTAGGCTTTCTTGATGGTGCTGACCTTTGATTCTCACCACCCCACATTTTGAAGGTTACAGATACAAAGCCACCCAGATGCATCCTCCTTCCTGCTCTTCTCCTCCCCAAAGTTTTCATTTCAGTTGTCCAACTCTGTACTTGTTTGAAGTCACTCCACTCTTAATTCCCCCGTTTTCCTGTTTACTTCATGTCACAGAAACTGTCAACCATAAGCTTTCTCAATTAACTTTGTTTGCCCTCCTCTTACACCCTGGCATATTTGTTTTGATTTTTTCAAAAAATCCCACACTAACCTGTAAAACCTGTTGTAACCCCCCTTCCTTGCCAACTGAGCCTCAGTGAGACAACATCACCTGAATATTTGCTTCTGACAGGAAATTTGGTTTTAAGTTTACAAGATACAGTACAGCTTTGGCTTTAATATATAATTACATGTGGAGCATGCTTCAGAAACTTACATCACTAGCTAGTTCATTAGCTCGTTTAGCAATCTGGTAAGCTGGAGTGATCATAGCAGGGAAGCTGCCTTTCCCTCTCTGTTGTTCATACTCTTCCAAGTATTTTACCTGAAAAAATCCAAAGAGTTAAAATTACATAGAAGCCGAGAAAGTCAGCAACAGGAGAATAAGAGGGTGTTTCTACCAAACTGCTGCTTCTATTCTACTTACGTCACTTGTGAGCTGTCCCCCAGATTTTGCATGAAGTATATCTGGAGTATCCACAACACTGGTAAATTTGGAAACACGTTCTTTGTGTCCTTGTTTATATTCTACCTATAACAATGAGTAGAGTCAAAGAGTATTAATATCTGCCATCATACATATATCTTTATGTCAGGAATGAAAGACCAAGAAAAGAGATGATATTTAATGGATGGTGATTCCTTTTACACAGTGCCATAGAATATAAAATCCTAGGTCACACAGTCAAAAAACCAGGCTCTTACATTGATGAAAAGAGCCTGAAAGGATAACATATTCCGCTCTCTCTCTCTCGCTCTCTCAGTGTTGTGCTTGGTTAACACTTAGTGTAAGAAGTCACATTAGGGTAGTCCATTGAATTAGTGGGGATCTGCCAAGTCAACTGTAAGTTCCATTGATTCAGTTGGGTCTACTCTACCTGCAATTTAATTGAGCAACAACTGAGTCAAAACAACAACAAAACAATACATAATTTTAGCTATCAATCTACAAGGTAACAATAGCATTGCTGACACTAGTGGCAAATGGTGGGGATCAGTGTAGGATTTCACATTAGGTAATGAGTGAGGAACCCTAATGTGAGGTTTAGTTTTTCTGAGTGGGTCTCCAACATTTGTAAGTACCTTTTCCCAGCTGTTCCTCTTTCAAATATATGTTGCAGTGCCCCCCAGGTCAGTCAAAGAGCGTCCAAGTAAACTGGGGAAAAGTTTTGTGTGTTGCCACTTCTTATGTCAGATATTATGCCCATTATAGCAATCTACAAATAGAGTAAGCCTATTTGAATCAATGGAGTTTATGAAGGAGTTGAATTACCAAATTTACAGTTATTCAAGGAGTCTACTCTAGTGTGACTTACTATGTTAAACAGAATTTCAGCCGAAATTCATCTGGAAACTTACATTACTGGATAGCTGAGTGGCCTTCTTGGCTATCTGATAAGCTGGAGTGATCAAAGCAGGAAAGCTGCCTTTTCCTTTTTGCTGCTCATGTTCCTCGGTATATTCCAGCTAGGAAGAGCAAATATTTAAGTTGAAACTATGTTTATTAAACTCTGTTTAATATTAGTTTATTGTTGCCCTTCCTTTTCATAAAGCACACAATTGTATGCACAATGACTCAAGATTAAGTTTTTCCAAAGCCAGTGCTTACTTCTAGGTAAGTATACTTAAGATTGGATTGAAAAAACTTAAGGCAGAAGTTTTAATTGCACAGAATCAAACTAAAAATTAGAGACAAGAAGTCACTAGAAGCTGAAGTCATGGCATTCCATACATTTCTAACTGGAAACAAGCAATTATGCAGATAAATCGCTGCTTATAATTAGTGTCTTCCAAACTAACCATCCAAACACTGAATTTATTACAGCCCAGTATGTGTATAGACTAAGAGCAGGGTACTGTTTTGAGCTCCTTAGCTATTTTCCCACTCTAGCAACCCTTCTCAGCACAAATGGAACAGGAGGCCTAGTCACCACTACAGACAGTACAGAAAAGACCACACCTGTTGACAATCATAGGTCCCACAGATACAGGGCTGGCAGCTTTTCCTCATTTAGGAGAACACAGCAGAGGTGAAACTCTGCTATTACCTCTGCTAGGGAAAAACTCTGAGATAAGAGCAGTGATTCCTCTGTGTTCCACTCTCCTTGTTAACAAGGTAAGTGGGAATAGGAATAATCTCTTTATCTCCAGCCATTAGTCAGAAAATGATTTCTAGGCCACAGGGCTTCATGACAGGGAGGGCATACTCTGGCTAGGCGTATTGGGCACAAATTGATGTTGTTTGCCCAAAATCAGACAAAAGAGCATATCCCCATGTCCAATTTGCTCCTGGAAAAGAACCAGTTCCATTTTCTATTGATTTGGACAGGTTTTATGGGATTCTTGATTCAATAGCTTTCCATTTCAGGATTATTTTCCCTTACTTAGGAACAAGATTTGGTTTTATTTTATTTTGGTTTTTGCCGCCCAGCTCCTTCCATATCTTTATCAGTTTCTTTGTGTTTAAAAAGCCAAAGTCTCATGGGTAAGTGCACAATTAGAACTCTCCATAACAAGAGCTGTGATGTCAGCTGTGGGAATGTTTTCTTTCATACTGGCTGAGTCTCTAAACAGAATGGGAAAATGGGATTTTTTCCCCCCAGCACAGATGCTTCTCCCTCTCTGCTTCATACTTGGCTGTTTTACAAACACAGAGAGAGAGAGAGTGCTCTAAGCTTTCCTTCAAAATGTACAAACTTTTCTCCATGGTAGGAAGAAACTAATATCTGAAGGAAGAGGATGTGCTATGGTGTGGAAACTCAATCTGGATTAAAACAAAGGAAAAATGGCTTCAGGCATGGAAGCTTGACATGAGGAAATCTGGATTAATTGGGGAAAGGGACCACAGTTCCAGGTTCATGTAGTTTTCAAGGATTATCCCCTCCCCCAGAAACAAACCCTATTCCCTACTACTCAAATTATTCAAGAGGGCTTCCAGAGAGGCTTTGAATGCATATCATGGAGAGAAAGGAACAGAACATTTCATTTTCATCACTCTCCTTGAATGCATACCATGGAGAGAAAGGGACAGAACATTTCATTTTCATCACTCTCCTTCCGTTTTCTTCTTGGATTCAGGCCTGCGTGAATATCCTCATAACACAATATTTCTCCCACATGCCCATTTGTTATAAAATGCAGGGTGACTTGCATCACTAACCGTGTTCTGTGCTTGAGTTAATCTGACCACTTCTGAATCGGGGATATTTTCTGAGTACCAGGTTTTTCCTTCTTCATATGCAGCATGGTAGGCTTTCTAAAAAGAAAATATTGTGATGAGAAATGGACAAACACAATGGTAACACGTTCAACTACAACTCGTGATTAGGTCTCTGGTTTGATAATATTTACAAAGGTGTGGCTTGACATGACCAAGTTCCTTTTTCCTGTTCTCATACCAGCTTGCCGTCAGACTTTTGAGCCAGATCTGTATATTCACATGCTTACATGGGAAAGTTGTACAGCTTCAAAGAGTTGTCTTTTGATACAACAACTCTCAGAATAGCCACCAACAGGGATTATGGGAGATGTAGTCCAAAAACCCTACATATTCCCAAACTATATTTAAAAAAATCCTTGTGATGTCCTTCATCTTTTGATCTATGCATGAAAGCTTCCTGAGAAATCCCATATCCTGGTGCTAAGACAAAGAATTACACATTTTATTTCAGTTTAATTTATATTCTAATTAATATTCTAATTAATTTTATTTTGATCAAGTTGTTAGCCTCTGGGAGGTGAACATCCTAATCTTAATCTTGTGTGCTGGATACATCTGCACCAGTAATCACTACTGCTCTTTTAGGGGTCATAAACTCTTAAAACCCAGTCCACTCCCCCACTGATGTCAGATAGCGAGGCAATGAAATTAATGAAGTCACCGAAAAATAATCAGCATGCAAAATGAATTGCTGGCTACAGCCTTTATTCTCTTCTCTTGATATTTTCTCTTTCTTGTCTTTTTAGAAAATCAAATTGTAATGATCTAGTTTAAAAACCCTGAAGATAACACGGGACGGAAATGTAAGTAACAATGCAATCCTACATATGTCCATTCTGAAGCAAGTCTCACTGAGTTCAGTGTAATTTAGTGCCAGGTATGTAAATATAGGATTGTGAGCTGACTTGCATAATCACACCATTCTAAGGATTTGCATGAAGGTGCAGCAGATTTTCAGATGAAGCCATCAGTATCCCAGATGAGGTACGCTAGGCCTGAGTTGCAATTCTCCTAGCGTTGTACTCAGAGAACTAAATGTTGTAGACATCAAAAGACCATTCTAGAGCCAGGTAAGCCTCAGAATACTAGTTAGAAACAAATGTGGCAGGCCAAATGAAACTATAAATGTAATATTTATATAAATGAAATACATATACAATTTAAAGTTTTATCAGAGTATACAACTGAAATACAAGACCCAAGGTCATAAAAAATACAGGCACATCACAGAAAGTTGAAGGATGTCATGGCACATCTTAAAGATCTACCAGCATACATGCCCTTGGAACACATCTCTTACCTGACTGTTTAGTTGTTGTATTTTCTGTGCAGTTGCCATATCTCTGGATTTCACATCCCAGTGAAAAACAGATTTGAATTTCTCACCTTCTTCTCGATACTTAATCTAAATTTTAAAAAACAGTAATGAATACCATCACTCCAAAACATATGAGACAGATCATTTTAAACCGCTCTAGGGCTAAATTCAATTTGAAAGTTCTTTGGGGTCACAGTCCAGTGCCGGACATAGCTTAAGGCAAAAACTGACCAATCAGACATTCATACGTTAACTTACAGCTCTTCATACCAATACCTGAAATTGTACTTAAAATAGATACTGCAACTTTCTTTTTTTAAAGGAAATGCTTCACAAAATCACCACAACTGGGACCTCACAAGGCTGGAACTCTCTTAGTGTTACAGCCACTTGGGGTATGAGATTCTCCATGTTCACTTAACTTTTAAAATAGTATTTGCAGTTTGGAACTTAACGTTAATGAATAGTAGGGTGTGCATCATGCCCATTCTGTGACACCAGGCTTACCTGCCTGGTCTTAAGAACATCATGCCCGCCTGAACTAAAACACACATACAGACTTTTGTCAAAAGAAGCTACATGACTACTGCATTATTGTTAATGCCACAGCAGTCACGTTTAAGATTTTGTAAGTGACATTTGACTATTTCAAATAGTATTTGATGCAAAATTAAAATGCAGAATGCACAATTTAAGCCTAGCATTGTGATGACAATTTGAGTCAAGAATCAGCCACTGATTTAGAAATAAATAATTTCATTACCTCTGAAACGGACCCCAAATTGGAAAAGTAAGGAAATGTCCAATACTGTATTATAATACTAGGGAGGTTTTAGAGGAAATCTGTTCTTATACATATGTGAGGATCAAAAATGAACCTTTGAATTTCAAAAATAAATAAATAAATAAAATAAAAATGGGATTCATACTGAAATACTTATTCTTCAGCATCTATAGAATTTGCTATGGCACAAGAGAGATTTTAAAATCCCCAGTTTGTCCCTGTGCTTAATAAAAAAAATAGGTTTACCTGCCTCATATGTTTCAGTTATCATTTTCATACATGGCATCATGTTTACAGAGTCATCTAAGCAGTTTTAGACCATAAAACCAATCCACCATGTAACAAAAAGTCAGTTAAAGCTGTGCCCTTAATGAGGGGCCACATAATAAGTGGGTGGAGAAATGCATGGAGAAGTCATGGTTAAGGAAATAACCAAACCAGGGGTCAGTTTTCAGTTTGGCTCTCATTGTGCAAAGTGAGATGATTGTACAGGAGAATTTTCCAAGAGTGAGGATTGCACTGGAGTACTTTTTAGTGAGCTGAGATCCCAACATTAATGGGGTTAGAACTGAGGGCAATTTTTATCTTCACACTGGTTTCTCAATGAACAAAGCAAAGCAAGTAATGGGGTGGTACTATTGAAGAGTCATTCTTGCTAAGCATCAGCAGGCAGTGAAATCTATTCAAAGTAACAGCACACTAATTTGACATATGGGACATTTAGTATCTGGATGGCTATTGAGCAGCCAGTTTCTGAGTGCCCCAGCTGTTACTGAAGGCTTTTGAAAGTTAGCTATTAAGAGTTATCTTCTTAGCACCTTCTTCACCATTAGTTGCCACTCAGTTGTTTTATTTGAAAACCTGGTAGAACAGACTGTGATGACTGAATAGTATTCTTCTAAAGGGCAACGTTAGAGAAGACACTCTGTAATTCTGTACATTACCCACTCATTCACCTTGGGAAGGCCCAACATTTTTGTTTCCTAAACCAAAGATTAAGATACCATTCCTCATTCTACATACAAAGTCAAACTGCAGCTGAATCTTACTTCAACACTGGCAATGCTAAGACATCCACCATACCTGAGGGTACCAGGCAAGTTTAGGAGGCACTGGGCAGATTCTGTCTTCCAACAAAGAGAAGTAGCAGGGAAGGCTCAGAAAGAATGATCAGGAAACTTCCATTCTTGATCCCCAGTGTCTGAAACTTCACTTCCTCACCGTATCTAATGGTAGTACTGCTCTTTAACTCACCAAAATGCCTCAGCTAAAATTGAGAGCCCTATTAAGGTCACCACAAGTCAGAAGCGATTGAACAGTTTATAACAACAGAGCTGAGACCACAGGAAAGGTAAGGCGGTAGATGAAATGAGTTTATTTATGAACCACAGTCTCAGAAACTGGAAAGCAGAAAATTTCCCAAAGTACAAATATGAATGTGAGAATCAGCTTATAATCCTCTGTTTGGACCTCAGTCTCCCCTTTGTGACCAAAAAGAATATGTTTCTTAGGCGACAAAAGAAAGGGAAAGCAGTCTCTGATTTTAGTAAAAGACACTTAGACACAAACATATACTAGAAGTAACAGGATCCCCTGTCACTGCTGTCAAACCAAAATAGAAATTGCTGCTAATCCCTGACTCATTCCAGAGCAGATCTATCATGCACAATTTAAAACACAGGTACTTGTTGCTGTTGTTACAGCAGTAGTTTAGGGTGTTACAGAATCCTGATTTTTATTTTTCATTTTATTTTATTTTTATATAAGACATTTTTCAAGGATTAGCTTGAGAAACGTGATATCAAAAAAGCCTAACAAAGCTGCAAGCGCTGGATTTTCCACAATTTAAAGGGAAACAGAAGCATAATAAAGTATAATAGTCTTAATCAGTGATCTCCAAACTATGGCCCGTGGGCCACATCTGGCCTGTCTTGCTGTTTTATCTGACCCAGCCATAGGAAGAGGAGGGAAGGGGGACCCAAGTGATGCCCCAAAGATAGCAGGGGTGGGGGATCACTTGGGGGCCCTTTCCCTCCTTCAGCCCTCAAAAATTTGTTAAATATATGATGTGGCCCTCGTACTGAAAAGTTTGGAGACCCCTAGTCTTAATTGTCAGCGTTGCCCTTAAGTCAAAGTTGACTTGATAGCACATAATAATAACAAGTTCTTATTATACATTAGGACTGCTATCGTTTTCACCGTTATGCAGAAATCAGCCCCACTGAACATATGATTGTCTTAGATGTTTCCGGTCCCTACTGAGAAAATGGGGACAATATTTAAAATTGAAATCCAGCAGTTTGGAAAGTTGTAGGTAGAAAAATAACCAGTTTTGAAAGCACGGAAGTATTTCAGAGGACTTTCTGCAAACTGGCAAAAAGAGAGAGAGAGAGAGAGAAGAAAAAGAAGAAAGAAGAAACTCTTACAGCCCCTGACATTTTACCAAATTTACTCAATGCAGCCAAGTAAAACTCACTTGACTATATTTTTGTTAAAAACTCAGATCCAAGTGCTAGGTTCATCAGGGGTTTGAAAGTCTTTTTTTGTTTAGCGAACTTGAGTTCACATTCTAATGAATCTGCAGACACTCTCTGGTTTGGTGTCAAAGACTTGACAGTTTCAGATGAGTTTTCCTTTGAGTTTTTCTGCTTCTTTTGTAATGAAAATTCAAAGGACAGCTTGGACTGTGAAACAAAGCTACAGAAAACGTTTGCATGAACTCCTCTGAGTGAACCTACTGGGCTTCCCACACCTCAGATCAGCATCCTTAGCAATTTTTTTTTGTGAGGAAGGATGTGGATTTTCACAGGTCTATTAGCTGATGGAGACACTGAGAGGTCCTGCAATTCTCATTTAGGCAAGAGTTGCTGATACGTACTTTGCAAAGGTAACCAGGTTTTTTAAATGTAGAGGAAATAAGGTTGTAGATACGGGTGTACAAATGGTGTATCTATCTACAAACAAGTGTCACTACTTCTTCTGAATGTACAATCTCTGTGTAGAGGGCTGTGACCAAAACTGAAATAGAAGACCCTGTGCATACATTGGACCCAGGGTTGCCAGGTCAGTAATATCCTCTTCCCTATGTTTTTAGGTGGTGCCTTGTGATATGACAGAGGCCTGGCAGGCAAGAGGGCATAGCACTGTTTCTGGCCGAAGTGATTATGAAAGTGGACACAGGAAGTATCTAGGCCCAGAATCTGAATAAAACTCAGCTAACACAAGTAATACAACAATGAGTCAGAGGGAAAAATCCATTTTTCGGGATCCAGGCCAGTGGCAACATGTGTCCAGATTTTGTTTCTGCTGCTTTAAAGCCACTTATTCCATGGGAAACCCTAACTGGGCCAGTGATATTATTTTACACAAGGCTAACAATGTTTTATCCTCTGGTTTTGCAGCACATCTCTAGCACAGGATATCTTAGTTTAGTCTGAACTCTAGCTCAGTATTTGGGCTAGCCCAGAAATTCAGCTGGCTATGGCCATAAAGCAGCGTCTATATAACATTACTTGTGTTTGTGTAGCACGGGGTTGAATCTAGCTGCTGGACCAGTCAAAGAAGCAGTGAATTGTTACAGGCCAAAGAAATAAGCACAATGTATTTGCGAAGGCTTTCACGGCCGGGATCTAATGGTTGTCGTGGGTTTTTCGGGCTTCTTGGCCGTGTTCTGAAAGAACCACTTTCAGAACATGGCCAAGAAGCCCGAAAAACCCACGACAGCCAATAAGCACAATGTTGTTTGCCCTGAGGTCCCTATGTAAACTTGTTGTCCTGTTGCATCGCTAAAGGAGATTTAGCCACTAGCCAGTTGCTAATTTGTCTTCTGTCTCAGAAGGAAAAATGTCTAAAGTTGCTACATGAGGGTGATTAATTTTTTTGTATTGATATTTGGATAACAGTTTTTTTTCTTCTGTGAAAATCTCCAAAAAGAAATAGACTGGGACAGGGAGTAAAACTCGTATAATGAAAATACTGTACTCATTGGCATCATAGTACTCTATCTGTTATTGCAAATGGGAAGTGTTTGATTGTGACATTTCTTGTTGACAGCTAGATCTCTGAAAAAGTTTAGTTGTTAAATCTCTGGCTTGCTAGGACTGTATATAGGAAGCATTGCCTTGACTGTAAAGGGATCAGATGGGTATGGTATGTGATATTTGGCTTTGCACAGTTGCATACAGCTTAGAAAAAATGTAGGATCAAGAGGTCTGTTTGCAGGGTGGGTGCCAGTCTTATAATACTGTAATCCTAAAAAGAAACACATTATTTTCTGTTGGTACAGCAGAACATAGAACACATTGACAGAATCCTGTCACATAATGGTGATGGTGTAAGTATTTCCCTCTCTCCTACCATTTTACCTTCACACAACTAATCTTACACTGGTTGCAAAATGTGGCATGCATCCAGCTGCATGGCTGACTGTGCAAATAAAGAGAAAAACCACTGCATGGTTATCTTTTGGGCCACAGTTTTCCTCTAATTAGATTTCGGCTATAAAATCTCAAAGTATCTTACCTCACTTATAGCTTCAGACTGCTTCTTCACATTCATATTTATTGGTGTCTCAAAAACACTTGTGAATGTATTGTTTTTTGGATTATGTCTGTTTAAAAAAAAATAACAAGTACCAAATCAGAAATGCTCTATAAATCTTTCTGAAAAAGACAGTTAGTCATGCAGTCAGATATACAGATCGACAGACAGGCATAGACATTAATCCACTGAATTGACATTCTGAAATACCACTAGATGCTTACATACAAAATTTTACTTTGACTAGTTTTTAAAATATAAGTTATTGCGTTTCTAATAACAAAAGAGAGTAATAGAGCATTAGCTCATTTAAAAACTGCGTAAGGCAAACAGGGCTCCAGGTTTAAGTGATATTTCTCATTTTAAACCACTAAGGAACAGCCAGCTGAGGTTCTCCCTAAGCGTTTATGGCTGGTGGGATTACATACTCTGCTACCTAAGTGGCTTTGGAAAGCTGCATAGTCCCAGAGCATCATAAGAAGGTGGAACTGGTAAACCATTTCTGACTACTTTATACCTAGAAAGCCCTAGATGGGTTGCTATAAATTAGAATTAACAAGACGGAACATAATTGTTAAGAAAACATCATACATGAATTCCCATAACCAACGTTGTGCATAATCGAGAAATTGATGCAGGAACCCTCAGAGTAAGTCCTAAATAAAGTGGCATTACAAAAGGCACCCCATAGGGAAGTGTTTACCACTTCTTGGAGGTCTGTGAGCTAGCTCTAATATAGAGCAAATTAATCCAAACCACCACCACCAAGGTGCCTGCATTGAATAAACTGAGCCTCTTTGCTTTTGTCACATAATATTATAATTGTGTGATTGTTACATTCTTTGTTCAGATGCCCCAGAACTATGCTTGCAGGGGCAGCTAGCAGTGGGCTTTTCTACAAATTGAGTCTGGTCGTAGCCAAACCCCAGGATTTTGGTCCTCACAGGATTAGAAAAGTCTGATATCTAGCAAGACATGCAAATCATTCTTCGGAGAACAAGACTTTGAGTAGGCCTGCCGTCCTCGGCTTTTGCCACTCCAGGCACTGTGACTCATCCTCCATAATATCAGCGTTATTTCAGGTACACATCAGGGTCAGGAAGGATTTTACGTTCATGCCAAGAGGAAAGTTCACACCTGACATGCTTTTGCCTTCCGCAGGATATCCTATTGACATACATACCATTTACATATTAGCATTACTATTGTCAATATTCTTATTTTATTGTTACATAGAATATTGCTTTATAGATACTGACTGAGAACTGTGATTGATGTACACAGTTGCCAGAATCTTAGTGGGATTATGCAATGCAAACCAGAATTCATGAATTTTGTCAGTGCTTTTAAGATACTGTACATAAATTTAGCCCATAAAGGGAGATGCCACAGATTTGCTACCTAAGTTGCATTGGGACAGTTTAGGCCTGTTTTGTTTTACTTTGTTTCATTTTCTATAATATGGCTATAACTCTGTAATCTGAAAATTATAATATTAAATCCATTCCTCTGAGGTAGGGCATAACTGGCAGGGGCTGTATTCAATGATTCAAAGGGTCCCTTCTAGCTCTGCGGTTCTAAGATGATGATGATGACAATATAACCATAGAATAATTGTGTTGAAAGGTGTCTATAAGGCCATTGTGTACAACCCATTATTACAAAAAGATATTTCATAGTCTCCTAATTCAGTCCAGTGAAATCCCATTGATGAATCCTATTGCCACAAGATTGTTTTATAAAGGACTAAAGAAGGACACACTTACACTTGACAGTAAGGCCTTTTCTGGTGGCTGACAAAGTTATTTACGGTTAGCATCATCTTGCAGACTTCGCAATGAAAGCAGGCTTTGTGCCATGTCTAGAAATAGCAAGAACAAAAATACAGTGAAGTTGCTTCTGCTTTATATTTTATTAGTTTTTTTATTTAAATTAAAACTGATTAGTCCTGGCAAACAAACAAACTGTCCCTACTGTGTTTAAAAAAAAAACCCAAGATATGTTTTCTGTCATGTAACCTTTAAGAAACGTAAAACATTCAGCAAAATTACGTGCTTACCAAAGTTCAGTTCTGACACTGAAACTATTCAACATTCATAAAGACTATGACAGTTCAATAGCTTTTCTACTGAGTTCAATTTTAAAAAGATGCAGGATAAGCTTCTGAAAAGCACTGGCAGCATATTGTATCTGAATTTTTCACAATATGCAAGAATTAACTACAGTATATCTACTGACCTGATCAATACAATTAATCTTCTCAGCAGGATAAACTCCATAACCACATCTGGCACAAGGCTGAATATTCATTTTGAAATTATCCAAAGATTTTTTAAAAACTCTCAAAATTTCCGCTGCTGCACTAATTCAAGTACGTTGTTTCCTATGAAACACAGCCTAGTCTTTTTACAACAATCCACAGTCAGACCCTTCTGCCTCCCTTGAAGCTTCTGTTTCACACTCAGCTGTTGTCTGGTTTTTAAAGCTGTCACTTACTAAGAGCAGTTATTTTGGCAACTGTCTAAGAGTTCATGAGAGGAAAAGGGGCAGGAGAATTCAGTGATACCGTTCCCTAAATAGAAGAATGAACTCACAAAGAAGCATCACAGTCATATGAGTGGGAACGTCTAATTGTTAATGTTTAAACTATGGGGCTTGCAGCTTACTTGTCAGAGCTCCGGGATAGACTTCTAAATATATGTCACTTCATCTTCAGATTATTATCTACTAGATAAGAGTCACCATTAAGGAAAGAAGAAGATGGGGCAGTTTCTCAATTAAGTCCCATCAAGAAGCGATCCAGAAATAGTTTGCCACCCCCTGGAAGAAAATAAATGTACAATGTCCACTATATTCTATACCCAGACTTACAACATATTTCTCAGACTATTGAAAAAAGGCCAAGATCACATTACTTGAAGCAAGTTGGGAAATTAATTGCAGTGCTATACATATCAACATTATATTGTTTAAACAATTATACTTGTTCAGTTAATGACTTGAAATGTGGTATTAATTATACATTTGGTGAGAGATAAAATTTTGACAAATTTCAAATTGATCCCATAAATCTTGCCACAGATACAGCAAGTTAAAATGGCCATAATCCTACTGAGTTTTTATGCCATTGTAATGCAGTAGGCCAAAACCTCATTAGCTAATTGCCACAAATTAAGATGTTAACAGAGACATCTAATTTTGTGCACTAAATCATGTTACTTGGCACACATCTACTGCCTAAACTAATTTATTAATCTGTAGAAATTCGCCAAAAAGTTTACACTAATTGCAGTATGATAGGTATAACTAATAAGATTTCGGTCAGTACATACTGTGAACTACACAATCCCAGAGCACCCCCAGGATGAAGGAAACAGTAAACCAATTGAGTACTACATGGCTATAGAACAGTGAGAAGGATCACCATAAATCAGAATAAGTTTGATGGCACACAATTGTTATTTTCAAAACTGAATACATATTTGAACTGGTATGTGATATACATTTAATTCACATTTTCGTCAAAACTGCTTGCGTACTTTATTCAGATTTCTTGAGAAAGACAAGCATCAATTGGTTTGCTGAAATTCTGAGCAGCAATTAAAAAGTTATGATAGTTGTCCTGCCCTATTAAAGCATATGGGAACAACTGCTGTAAAAGTTACCTTACACGTGCTCTGTTTCATTTGGAAGCTACAATACTGTTAGTATTCCAATATTTTCAGAAGGATTCTGTGCTGCAGAAGGAATCTAGTGGATTCCAAGTGCAATACTTAATTTCTCAGTAACACTGGATAATTCATTTTCTTGGAGACCACCCACTGCTGTTTTTTTTAATAGAGTTCTGAAGTAACAAAGGGCTAAATCCAACTGTCAGTCTCAGATATAGTTATTTCCAACTCAGTGTTCTAGACTAGAGCAGCAAGTGTCCATCAACAAGTGTGAGGGGAAATCAATAGCAAGTCCAGGTTGAAAAATGAGGATTAGCCGCCTAGAGTGGTTGTTTGACCAGATAGGCAGGGTATAAATAGAATAAATAAATAAATAAATAAATAAATAAATAAATAAATAAATAAATAAATAAATAAATAAATAAATAAATAAATAAATATTCAGAACCCAGTTTCAAAGCACATGTATGAGTAGAGTCAAGAGACAAGAGTAGTCAACCCATGAATCAGGTAATCCAACAGGGCCAAGAGGAACCAAACAGCAGCAGGTCTACAACAGTCCAAATCATTAGGTAGGACTTCAGGCCAATATGATACATGGAAAGTCAGAGCAGAATGTCAGTATGACCCTTGCTTCCTGTGGTCACCTTGGCCTGGGACCCCTCTCTTCTTCAAGGGGCTCTAATTCATTACTTACTGTCTAACCTTCAAAACACTCATGGTTCCTCTGTGTGTGTGTGTGGTTTTTTGGGGGGCAGGGGGGTAGATTCTAACACTTGGAGTTGCCAGCATTCTCTAAGTTTAAGACTTGTCTTCATTCATCACACTGTTGTCATCTCTTGGAAGCACTGGATGCCTCCCTGGCAAGGCCAAACATCTCTTCCATTTCATGTGCTCCTGGGAAAAGGCTGCCAGAAGGCGCCTCCCTGGACCTCATCTCCCTTTGTTGAGGCAGATTGTCCTTTGATTTCATCCTTTGAATAGGACTTGGCCACTCGGGGTTAAATCCATGTTGAACAAATGGTTCATGTTAAATCAACACTTTTGTAAAGTCCAGGGATGACCAAACCAATTTAGGCAAAGAACCAAGGACTTTAATTCCCAGAGCACAGAGTGTTGTCCTCTGAAGATGCTGGCCACAGAGACTGGCGAAACGTTAGGAAGAACAACCTTCAGAACACGGCCAAAGAGCCCAAAAAACCCACAACAACCATTAGATCCCGGCCGTGAAAACCTTCACGAATACTTTGATACCCACTTACTTAGGAATTGGCTCCATTTAAATCAATGGGATTTGTTTCCCAAATTGCTGCAATTTCTCAGAACATTTGAGAATGGCGCTGATAATGGCTCGTTCGTTGACACCAGCTTTCTGACTTCTGTGCACATTTATTCTTTGGCTGCATTGCATGTGCATTCTTTATTATAGTTAATATTTGAATATACAGACAAAATTGTCTTTATGTCTATCTTCTATTTTATACTATATCCATAAAATTAAAATTTGACATTTCCCATAATAACGCCATGACTATGTAAACCAGAGGCAAATAATTCATCAAACAAAAAAGTGTGTGGGGGGGAATGTATAAATTCCCCTCTGTTTATTTTGGATTGTAAAATTTATTAAAAACTCAAAACATTCATCTGCTTTCCTCACATAAGCCAAAAGGGACACACAGCACACATGTCTGGAAGAAACCAAACGCAGAGAGGACCAGTGGGCTATTAATTTATTTTAAAAACTAGAAATACCTTTTAGAGCATTAAAATTGGCTCTACTGAAAGCTCTGTCCTCTTTTGGCTCTACTGCACTCTACTCTCAGGATACTGAATTGTGTACTCTCACCTACATCTATTCTCTCCAAAAATCTCAAGAGTTCAGAAAAGCTTTCTGATATACACAAGGCCACCCTCAATGCCTAGCATTTTGGACAATGCACAGCAGAACCCACAACTACAGTAATGGACTTTTTTTAAAAATGGGCCAAATTCAAGGGGATTGTTGCTAAGTACTGCCAGCATTGTAGCATTATTGTCAGCCTAGCCAATATGCTTATCATATTATTAGAAGAGGTGTTCCTTCAGCTGATGACAGATGTCTGTTCATTATAGTTTGAAGAAGTGGACCTGTCCATGAAAGCTTACTTTAAAATATAGCACTTAGTCTTTAAGGTGCCACAATGTTTTTACTTCTTTATTTTTTGTTGTTGTTTTTCTTTAGTTTCTGCTAGTGACTTTCTTTACACAAGTATACTGTATTAAATGTGCTTCATTTTGTGATTGGTCACTGAAAGGTAACCTTAATTCATAAGTCTGATTGCCACAGCGTGTATTTTAGAGGAAATGCTGTTGTACAAGCCAAAAAACAAGGCTATTGCAAGGATTGTGCATTCTTTTTAAAGTTCAGTGTGATCCTCTCCCATCACCACAACTGAAGTCACCTAAAACCACCTGTCTGGTTTAGTTTCTGTTGGTAGTACAACACATACACACCCTCACCTTCAACTCAGTCAGCAGAACAAGTCACACACACCCCTGACTGTGGGCGCAGATTAGGCATCTGCAAAGACATGAACTTGATAGCATCAGAAAAGGTAGCTTTAAGGGGAGTCATCTTCCTTACTTTCTTCCTCAGTCTGCCAGAGAAAGTAGAAGCCTTACATTTCTAGACCAAAAGGGTCGAGCTTAGGTATAGATCAGGATCAAGCTGGGCAGCATTTCATGCTGCATGTGATTGGTAGGAAATCAACTATGATCTATTTCCCCATAGGATCACACCCTGTATGACTCAGTATGCTTTTGCCCAAGCTTGGTGACTGTGTAGTGATTCGAACCCTGGTCTCCTACCACAACCACCATCCCCGTTCAACTACAACACTTTCCAGCCACTAAGTCACTCTCTTACACACACACACACACACAGAGAGAGAGAGAGAGAGAGAGAGAGAGAGAGAGAGAGAACAAACACTTGCAACCATACTGCTCACTCAGTCAAGGCTTGTGGGTTCAGGCACCAAAGTTTCCCCTTTCCAGGAGTCCTTTTTCACAAGTTAAATCAAACAGAAGCTTATGCCACATATTTATTTATTTATTTATTTTATTTCTATACCACCTGTCTCCCAATTATGGGACCTGTGGCAGCTCACAAATTATTAAAAGGCCAAACCAGTTTTTTAAAAAAAGCAATAAATAATTACGTTAAAATTAAACATATCTATTCAAACAACCAGTTAAAATTGTTTTTAGAACTATCTTAAAGGCGAATTAAAACATACATAAAATAATGTGCGGCGCCTGAACTCATCACTGCCCAATAAACGAAACTCGCTCGTTTTTTAAGAGGCCAGACTTCCGTTCTTGCTTGGAACAAACTAACATGACTGCCCTTCTCCCCGGGAAATTTTTCTGGTCCTCTGTTTCTCCAAGAAAGGGAGGCATCGGGCTCACGCCCTGTCCAGGCAGTGTGTTGTTTTTCAGTGTGTGTGTGTGTGAGAGACATAGAGGTCCCGACTTGCTGAGAGAGGAGAGCTCCCCGGGGACCTCAGGCCAGGAGGTGGCGCTATTCGGACCGCCTTGGGAAGGGCGAACGTCAACTAGTAAAAAAAAGTTCCAAGCCCTCTCCGCGCAGCGTTTCCTGTGCCACGGAGGTGCCGGGGGAGACCGACGGCAAAGGAGTCCGAGCGGTTACTTTTGGTTTCGCTTTGCAGGTCCTTCGCACGGCAAGGAGATTAGGCGCGTGGAGGTACCCCTGGTCGGCCCTTCCTCGTGGAGTGCAAGCAGGCGAGTGTCCGCCGGGTTTGGGGTGGGTGGAGTGGGGAGAAGAGTCGAGGGACACACACCCCCCGCGCCGCTTCTCTGAGGCTTTCTTGTTTTCTTTCCACGTCTCCGGGGTGCGCCTCTGACCTCCCTTCTCGCTCTGCTCCGCTTTGGCCCTGCCCCGTCTCTGCTGCTCTGGCCGCCCAGCCTCCCGCTTCGATTCTCTTGCTCTGCCCTTTAACTCGCTCTTGCTTTTTCGCTCCACTTTCCGTTCCATTTCGTTTCAGGTTCGAAAGTTCTGCGCCTCGCCCATTTCGCGCCTCTAAATGCAGTTCTTTCCGCCCTCGAGGCGTGATTTTCTACCTGATTATTTCCCCTAAGTACTCCCTAATCGCATCCCTTGTTCTCTACCCAACATCCCGTCTGCTTAAAACAGCCCCTGGTGGACTTCCGTCTGTCTGTTTCCCTTTTAGATACGGCAGGACCAGCATGTGTTAGTATTGAATATCTGTCGTAGAGAAAACGAGCCTGATTTTTTTTAATTTGCCTCTTGGGCACCTGCTAGTTATCTCCGTTACAGCTGGTCCTGTCACTGTGTCTTTAGCTGACTTGGGGGAGATTACTGTCCAATTCACAGCAGTAAAAGATTGGTGGTCCTCTTCCAGAAAAAAGCAGACACTGTGTCTGTTCTTAAACTCTGTCTAGTCTACCTAATTTACCTCTTATTACTCTGTCTCCAGTTTTGAACAGATGAGAACACAATCTTGAACTCTGCTAATCAACCCAGGGTTACTGCCTCCTTAATTCTGTGTTTTCAGTCATTAAAACGAACCAAAATCTGCATACCTAAAACATGTTTATTGTTAGCCTGATAGGTTTCTGTCTCACTTTCCGTGTCCCAGTGATATCTTGCAATGGAGAACTCTTTAATCAGTGCTAAAAAGTAAATGGTATGTATATTCCATGATGTTACTTAAAATGACATAATACTTACTACATGGCGTCTTTTCATTAACCTACAAATAAAGGAAAGGGTTCTTGTGGTTCTTTAGAGGCCATTGAATGCAGCTTCCATGAACTCTAGCCAGTGGATAGAGAGAAGGTGAGTCAAAGTGTGACAACAGAGTACTATGAATTGACTGCCTCACTATAAAACATATATAAAACACTATAAAACAATGATATGTGTGTGTTGGGGGATTTTTAAGTCTATTTCAGGTGTAGCTACGTGTGGGGTTAGGGAGCAAATTATAGGCAGCTGTGTTCTGTTAAAAAGAGAAAAGTGGCCCGTAAATGTTTAAAAATAAATAAATACATGCTGAGTACAAGTGGAAGCTCTTACCACAAATATTAGCTGAGTCATACATAGCGCTGTTTCATGTGCACTCAAGATTACTGTATCTACCCAATAGATTCTTTTTCTCCTTTGAACTACAGTATCAGACTCCACTACAAAATTAGAGAACCTGTTGCTCTCGAGATACTGCTGAATTCCTGTTCCAACCACCCTCAGCCACTAAAATATAATGGGCGTAGAAGTTCATCAGCATCTGGATAGCTATGGATTATGCTAAGCATCTGGATACCCCTATTTTGTTTGGAGGAGTGCCAGTCAAAAAATATGTGCCCTGATGCTCTTAGGGCACCTGAAAATAGTAGCACTGTCCTTTAGCTCAAATGCACTTTGATTTTACTTAACATGGATCAATATAAATGAGTATAAGTTAACATATTAAAGGTAGTTTGTAACTTACCTGAAATAAAACAGTACAACCCAGTTGCATGATTACTTTCAGTTGTGTAAGACATGTGATATAGTTAAAAATGAAGAGATTGATATAGAAATTCTGAAACAAATCTTTATACTCATATTGATATTTAGGAATTCCCCAGAAACTGCCAGTTATGGACAGTATGGTTAATACATGTTTAATCTCTTATTATTATTATTAAGCCGCCCAGAGTGGTAGAATATACCAGATGGGCGGGATATAAATGGAATAAATAAATAAATAAAATAAATTATGAAGAAACCTTCTGTTGGAGGGGGTCCCCCTGACTGATTGGGGATATTTCCCTAGGTTGGACAACATTATCCTTTCTCTTAGGGATTGAGTCCATTACTTGGGGGTACTTGTAGACCCAGATATTTCAAACAAATAGCAGCTGTGTCTACGTCCAGTTGTGTCCCTAGCTGGACAGGAGCTCCTGTGTCTACGTCGGCCTTTAAGCAACTCAGGCTGATTGCCCAGTTGTGTCCCTAGCTGGACAGGAGCTCTTTGACAATCTTGGTTCATGCATTGGTGATCAAAGATTGACTATTGTAATGTTCTTTATGTGGAGTTTTCCTTGAAGCTGACTTGGAGACTGCATTGTTATTTCCAGTGAAGACTGAAACACTCTTCATCGGAAAGAAGATGTGGATGTAAACACTTAAATTTGTGATGGTGTGAAATTTATTTCAGGTCTATTAACACAGTTCTTCTGTAACGCTACTCTGAGAAGTGTTTGTTTTAAAAGCATTGACTCTATAGCTTTCTCATATTTTTTTAAATCTAAATAGGTGACAGAAAAGCTTCCTGCCATGGAGTCAGCAGGAAAGGATGGAGGTTCTGGTGATGAAATGGATGCAAAGCCGACTAGACTAGATCGATTTTCAATCTTTCCAAAGTAAGCATTTTAAAACACTTTTTTGTCTAACAAGTTTGGATCCTAATTCATTGTATGTTTCACACAAATAAGCAATTCTTTGACAGGTGGAAATTCATTTTTGCTTTGGATCCATCAAAAGAATTATAAAAGAAAAATACATTCCTAAAATGCTTTTGTTATTTTATTTTTCTTTATTTCACTTCCTTGTAATATTTTCTTTACAAAACTACTCAGAACAGATTATTGTGAATGTAATTTGAAGTATATAGGGACAACATAGTTTAAATGATTGCATAATATCAAATTCATAATACATCCAAATTACATGTTACATTCTTGTAACAGTCCTTTCAGGCTCTAGATCACTGGTTCTTAACCTTTGTTACTCAGATGTTTTTGGATTGCAACTCCAAGAAGCCTTCACCATCAGCTCTGCTGGCTGGGGTTTCTGGGAGTTGCAGTTCAAATACACCTGATTAACAAAGGTTAAGAACCACTCTAGATTACTTTTCTGGATTCTAAAATGACCATTGGGGTGCCATCATGTTTATGTGACATTTGCTTTGGGCCGTTAAGTTTAGGTATATTCACAAGTACAATAGTTTTTACATGGTGACCCCATAAAAATGGTATGACTAACATCTTCCCTGGCTGGTTCTAAATGACCTTCAGATGTAAGGAAAAGACCATTAATTTCACTCTTCTTTTCTATAAAAGTGGGTTGAGTTTGAAATCATTATTCCTCACTGTTTTGAGTTCTATCATTTTTTTAAAGTGGTACTAAAATCAATCTCTCTCACACACACACACTGTGTGTGTGTTCTAAATACCTTTTTTTAATAAATAACTTTATGAAGCTTATATAAGTAAATTGGTATGTTTAGGATACAAGACTTCTGCTTGAGGAGGGGACTTAGCAATTTCTAATAATTGTTTTTATTTAACAAGGTAAGATCTTCATTGCTAACATGTACTGATATTGTGGGGGATGAAGGCTTCTATTTGTCCTGTTTGTCTTTCACATTTCTTCTTTCTAGATAGTTCTGTCTCCAGGTGCAGGTAGCCACCCACTTTATTTCCTTATGCCAGTACATTATCTTTTCTTTGCAGTCACATGATTTTACAGGAAATGTAGCCCAGTGCTTTGCTGCAATCTTATGAGAAACAAGCTGAGCTCACTGCTCACCGCAGTCTCCATTGTTCCATCTCTTTCCCTGTTTAAGGAGGTCTGTGGGATGAATTGGAGACAGAGGGAGGCCCAAAGAGTTACATTTTTGTGTTATAAACAGACTTTACCATTCACTTCCATTAAAAAAAGTCTCTCTCTTGTTTTAGAAGTTAGAATATTAAATTTTAGTCTACTTAATTTTTAAAAAATATTATGCTTCATGAATTGATAGTGACATTGTAGAGCTCGTACTGTCGAGCATTTTTAGTTGCATGAAATTAACCACACTGCGCTCATTTGTATTGAAGATAGCTTTGTTGGTGGAACAGCGATGGAAGTGGACTTAGTGGGACAGTGCGGCAGCATAATGAGCCTGACATCAATTGGCTATGGGTGCCAGAGTTTGGTATGTTAGATGTGGCTGAGTTCTATTTTTAAAATACTAAATTTCTGAATTCTTGAAAGTAGCCTTATCTATCGGATATGTGTGTAAACATGATGACTGCCATGTAGGAGAAGCATTCTTGACTCTGTCTACCTGTTGCTGTGGCATTTCCTTTTTTTTTTAAACCAGCAGAGCTGTTACTACCTGGCTCTGCTGTGTAGGGTGTATGATCTTGTATTTTTGGTTCAGAAGGAGGAAAAACCTTTTAGTAGTGAATGCTCTCTCTCTTTCTCTCTCTCTTTTCCTCTTTTCATTCACCCACACAATGTAGATTTTTAACCATATCTGGCTTGGAGAGCATCCAGTTTTGGAGACCCCTATGTCCTTCTGGTTATTGTTGGACTTCAGGTCCCATCATCTCTGCATAGCATAGTCAGTCTAGGAACTGCAACATAACAACATCTGGAATGCTGTGCTTTGTCAGTGCCTATCCTAGATTCTTTTAAATAGGTGCCATTTGAGTTTAATAAGCAAAGGAATTTTGGAACGTACATTTCGCTCTTGAGCCAGGCTTCGTACTGCTGCCTGAACTAAGCAGTGAAGAATGGCATCACCTAGATGGGGCTTGTGTTATCTTTATGTTACTTCTGGGTTCATTATGATTTGTGCTTCCATTAGGTAGTGGCTGGAAGAACTTGGTAGTAGCAGTAAGAGGGGAGCAGTCCTTACAACCAGATAACATTTTTCCCTCTTACTTAAAATGTTTTTACACTGCCTTTCTCCTAAAAAAGGACTCAAGGTGGCTTACATAATTAAAAACACAATATTAAAAGCTAAAAACAGTAAATTATTTGAATATTTAAGAAGAATTAATAGCATATTTAAAATGTTGAGCAAAAGCATTACTAAAAACAGATTTAGAAGCAACAAAATGCAAACCATTCCATTTTAAAAAAATTTCTAGACAGTCACTAAGGGAAAGCCTGCCTGAAGAGAAAGGTCTTAACCTTCTTGTGGATGGACAGCAGCAATGGGTCTAACATGACCTCCTGTGGGAGGGAGTTCCAGAGTCTGGGAGCCACAACAGAGAAGGCCTTCGCCCACGTCCCCCAAGCACATCTGTGAGAATGGTGTCTAGGTTTGTCGTCGCTTTCCTCCCAAGAAGCAGGTGTCTTTTAATTTCATGGCTGCTGTCACCATCTGCAGTGATCATAGAGCCCAAGAAGGTAAAATCTGTCATTGCCTCCATATCTTCGCCTTCTATTTCCCAGGAGGTGATGGAACCAGTTGCCATCATCTTAGGTTTTTTGATGTTGAGCTTCAGACCATTTTTTGCACTCTTCT